TTTCATCATTAATCTATGACTTAGTCCCGTTACGTTATTGCTGAGCTTGTTCCGTGTAAATAATATTTTCTTGTTCTATATCAGCTTCAATTTAATATCATATACACTTAAATCAGTAGTTCTGGACCCTCTTCATTCCTAATAAATTCTCCTGGTCCTGCATCTCGAGTTGCATCAAACAAGAACGTATTCACTAAAATTAAAAGCAGAAAACCTCCCCTAATGCAAAGGAGTAGAAATCATAAGACTTGCATTGGATACCAAAAAAATAAATAAAAAAATCGTAAGTCCTAATTAAGAAAATCTTCCACTATAATAATAGGGGCAGGATATTCTTACACCGGTGTAAGAGTTAGAAGTCTTACACTCAATCTTGACCATTGATCCACTTGTATCTAAAGGCTCACATTACTAAAAAATTTGAGCCGTTAGATATAAGTGGGATTAACGGTCAAGATTAAGAGTGTAACTTACACTGGTGTAAAATGATCCTGACCCATAATAATAATATGATTACAATAATCAAGCTTTCCTAATAATACTAGATATTCTCACTCAAACTTCACCAACGGTGGTATTCAGAAGTTTTTTCTCTCAAAAGGTCACGCTCTCAAACTTTTTTTAGAGGATTTTCTAACTGACTAAATCTTTTATCTTTTACAAAGGTTTTCTTATCTTCGTATAAAGTTGAGGCAAGACTCTTCATTTCCTTCTAGAATATTTCTAATAATTAGGTAGGTAATATTTATTAGGGGTATTTATTCAGTCATTAAGCCATACATCAATAAATAAAGTGCTTGTTCAGCCACCAAACCCTAAGAAGGAAAACACCCTAACAGTGTAGTTGAAAATTTCTAATAATTAAGATCAAGCAACAGGACACGTAACTCAGGGAAATGGAAGACATGTACTACAAAACAAAATTGATATAGGTCCACCTAAGGTTGTTTTATTATAGTCTGGTTCAGTGCATTAAATTTATAAACTGTTCAATAAACACTAAATAGCACTGTCACATACGCATGATTTGTAATGAACTTGTATTCATTCACCAGGAAATCATGCAGTGCAGTGTTTGAGACTTGACAAGCATTTTTAGAGCCGTTTGGATTGTTTTCTCGGAAAAAATATCATTTTAAATTTTTTGAACAAAAGAATTGTTCAGTTTTTCTAAAGTAATGCAGTCAAATATGTCACATATGTTGACAGGACTAGTCTCGTCACTGACACTGACGGGACTCGTGCCACGTAGGCAGTCTCATTATCGTAAAACTTCGGAAGGTCATAACTAGTGACTCGGGTATCCAAATCAGATGATTTTTTTTTATTTCACATAAATTTTCGAGATCTAAGTAATGACATCTCATTTAACATATTTTATCTCTCACAAACATAATTTGAATTGGTAACAATTGTACCACAATCACGCGTTTAAATTCAGAAGATCTTCAAACTATGTTTGTGGGAGATAAAATATGTCAAATTAGATGTCGTTGCTTAGATCTCGAAAATTTATGTGAAATAAAAAAAAATCATCTGATTTGGATACCCGAGTCACTAGTTATGACCTTCCGAAGTTTTACGATAATGAGACTGCCTACGTGGCACGAGTCCCGTCAGTGTCAGTGACGGGACTAGTCTCGTCAGCATATGTGACAGTTTGACTGCATTACTTTGGAAAAACTTATCCAATCAGCTTTAACTGAGCAATTCTTTTGTTCAAAAAATTTAAAATGGTGCTTTAGCCTTGTTTTCTCAAAATAAAATTTTTTATGCCTTACATATTTTAAAAATGCTTTTCTAAAGCTATTTAGATTTTTAAAAAAATATTTGGCTTTCAATTTTTGTTTTGTTTTTTTAAAAAAAGTTGAATTTTTTAGCTTCTAATAAATAGCAGATTTTTGGTTTTTTTTATTACTTCTTTGTTTTTTTAAAGTAGCCATTTAAATAAATATTTTTTGAAAAATACTTATTTTTTCTTTAAAAAAATAGCTTTTGGAAAGAAAAAAAAAACCTAGGCAAACGGGCTTTTATACTTTTATGCACTTGTTCATAAATGACAATCACCATTCCTTAAGACTTAAGAGAGGGTTCGCAACTTAGGTGGGCTTTGGCTCACGGAAAACCCACGCTGTAAAGGAGAAGGGAAAGAAAATGAGAGTGGTAACACAGTGCTGAGAAATTCGAAATTGCACATTTTCGTTGCACTATTTCACGGGGGATATGTGCTAACAATTTCCAAAAGAACAAGCTGAACAAGATTGTGAGAAGAAATTAAAGGTGTTTGGTTTATTTCTTAAATATAATTTTGATTAATTTGTTTTTATTTTTTTAACTATAGAAATATGATATTATTTTTATTTTGTTTGTTGTTTTCAGAATTTTGTGAAGGAGTGTTGCTATTATTTTCTTCACAAAATCTTGAAAACCTGACATAAAATGAAAAAAGTAATGTATTCGTAATTACAAATAATTTTTTTAAATAAAAAACAAAATAAAAAACAAACCAAATAGAATTAAATGTTTGGGTTGCCCAAGACCCAAAAAGTAGCAAACCCATAAAAGGAAAACCCTGAAAGCTCGCTCAAATGAATGTTGTTTCCAGTTTCTTGCCTGAAAAAGAAAAAGAGAAAGAAGAAGGAAAGAAGGTTTATCATCTATCATTTAATACGACCACAAAAATTTTCCTACACACACAACATTTTGCGGGTCCCGCAGGAAAAAAAAAATTGGCATGCAAAAGAAATCTCTATAACATAACACAATCATTTTTCTTACAACATAACTCTTATAAAATCCAAGAAAAAAAAGAATAAATCATGAATAAATATTAATTGATGATTTCAAGATCTTCAGATATCCTTGGCAAGAGTGCAAGACATTATTAGTTGCAACTAATAAGTAACTGGCAAACAAAACGGCACCATAATCTGTATATGATTCGTCGTTTCGCTACCTTGAAAGTTACTAGGTTGTATTTGTACTGAGGTATGTTTGGTGTGACGTATAAGACATGATAGTATAAGCTTATACTATATGTTTTGACATTTTCAGTTGTTTGGTGTGATCATCGTATAGTATAAGCTTATACAGCATAATCCCTTAATACATCAAAACGATGTATAACTTAATCCAGCCTAAGGGTGAAGAATAAGGCATGATAAGAGATTGATGTATTATCATGACCAATGTAATTCTCAAAAATTAATATATTATTTTAATATTAATGTATTAAAATAAAAATTAATTTTTCAATATATTAATTTTAAAAAATATTGAATATTTTTTGTTTATAAAAATTAATTTATGTTTTGAACATAGTGATCAACAATTTTTTATAAAAAATAATATCATATGATATTTTTTGAAGAATTATATAAATTCTTTATTAAAGGATAATTTTATTAAAAATATTTATTTATATCCTATATAGTATTATACAGTGCATTATCAAATACTATATGATATTATCTTATACAATATATTATTTTATACAATATCGTGCCAAACGCTGGATAGTATTAAAATTCAATCAGGTCTTATACAATCAGGTCTTATACTATCAGGCCTTATACTATACTATGTACCAAACATGCCCTGAGTGAAATACTAATTTTATATTTTAGGAGACTAACATTTTAGGGAAAAATTAATCTTATGTTACATGTGATAAGTTTATCTCCTACACACCATTCGATAACTGTGCTACCTTTTTATTTTATTTTTTATTTTTTCAGATAGTGGAGCCCACAAGTTTGTCTACATAAGATAATTTATCTCCTTTAACATAAGATTAGTAAAACCCCAACATTTTATATTGTAAATATGAAATATGTGAGACTCGTTTTTTTAAAATAAATAAATAGATCTCATATTTTAAAAGTAAATAAATTTCATATACTTTATATTTATAACATAATATACTAATATCTTATAACATGAGACTAGTATTTTCTTTTTATATATGATTATGAACTGCGTTGCATGTACACAGACTTTTTTAAAAAAATTGCTTGTCCGACACGTGTCCGACACGTTTCGACATGCGTCCGACACGCGGTCAATGCTTCGACACGCATCCGACACGTTTTTTTTTTAGAACTAAAATTTATTTTATTAACTAAACATGAAAAATAATTTCTAAATCAATTTTTTTTGTTATAAAATTTGACATAAAAAATTAACAAGGTATGCAAAATTATTTTTATTTATATTTATATTATAAAATTTGAAAATTTGATTGATTTTCTCACTTATTATGAACTGTTATATGTATTAAATATAAATTATATTATATATATATATATATTAAAATATTATTTAATATCAAAACGTGTCTCAACGTGTCAGAATATGACATTTTTTAAAATTTACTGACACAATACGTGTCCCGTATAAGATGCATATAGATTATGAACTATAATAGACCAACCCCGTGTCTCTTTTAGAGCCTGTTTGGATCCTCTTATTTTTAAGCTAGAAGCTACTTATAAGCTAAAGCTAAAAAAGAGAACTTAAAATAAGAAGCTAAAAGCTGTTTGGAAATTACATAAAAATTTTAGTTTAAAATTTACTTAAAAGCACATATTTCAAGAAGATCATCTCTCTCTATTTTTATCACTCTTCATTTAAAAAAAATACACAATTCAAGAAAAACAGATAAGAGCTTAAAAAGAAGCTCCTCCTAGGAGCTTTTAGTTTTCAGTTTTTTTCTTCATTATAAAAAAAAGAGTTTTTCATTATAAGAGCTTTTCCCAAAACTTGTTTGGTCTAACTTATACTTATGAGTAGCTTCTAACTTAAAAATAAAATAAAATAAAATTCAAACATACACTTATAATTTTGCGGTTGGAAAATGAAAACTGATAAACACTTAAAAAAGAGAATTTATTTATCTATTTATTTTTTTGTGGTGCACCTTCTGTCACTTATGTGGCTCTCTGTGTCTTTCTGACATGCTCACTCATCCTTTGCAGCAGTAGAGAAATACTAGGTAAAACTCTTTTTTCTATCTACCAAAAAAAAAAAAAACTCTTTTTTTTTTCCTGAGTTTCAGAATCTTAATTTTGATTTCTGCTATCTGATTATCATTGAATTTGGGTGAGGAAACCATGAACTAGAATTTGGTCTCTCTTTTTTTTGTTTAATTATTTATGCCAACCAGAACTTTGGAGTTGTAAATGGCTTCCATTGTAACAAGCTTGCCGCCACCATTGCTGCTCCATGGTAGAAAATCACATCCAGGAATCTTCCAAAGTTGCCCTATTTCTCTTCTTGCAGGTAATCCTTACTGGGTTTTACTTTTTGGGCCCCGGGTTCTTTCAAAGTTGAAATTTTTATCCCCGTAGACACTATTTGAAACTTGTTTTATTCTGTAATATTTGTGTAACAATCTAGATGTTCCAGTGCGAAGAAATGAAAGTATGGCGTTGTTTGAAACTTTGGTTTTGACCTAAGTAGTGCTTTTTAATTTCTTGAGCGTAGTCAAAGCGAGTAATCTTGCGGGGAAGCTGAACCTTCAGTTCAGTTTCTAAGTGGGAATTTATTTATTTATTAATTCAGGTAACCCATAAAATTCATGAGCATTTTTACACTAGTTTGGGTCCAATTAAAAAAGTCATTGTTGTATGTTATTTGGGAATATAATTTTCATACTCATTAAGCTCAATTTTGAACTTCAGTAGCATACTGTTCCATGGAGCAATTGTGACAATGTCACAATGTCACAATGTTCCTGTCTTTGTTAATGGTGGTGGTGTAAAAATCTGTGTGGTTGATTATGGTGACATCAGTACAAAACACAAAATTGCATACAATCACAAAACGTCAGAATGCAATATGTAAGGCATAAAAATTGCAGAAAAACAAACCCGAGCCAAGTATTGAATAGTGTCCTTAAGGCAATTTTCTCCCCTCAACGGTGCCTAAGATTTGTGGACAAATACCTCCCAGGATCAAACAGGTTACCTTTGTTTCGACGATGACACTACCAGAAGAAACAACACTGGTGGACACAACGAACGCTGATCAATCTCACAGAATGAATGCAAAAGATTTCAAAAATCATTTTAACAGAGGTTCGGTACAAGCGAGAAATCATAAAAGTTTCTATTTATAAAAGTCACGATGAATTGTATCCATTGGTAGTGAAAGGTCATGTTTATTCACCCATGAATAATTATGTCTGTTTGACAGTGAAAAGACACATTTTCACACCCAACTTCTTATTCATAACATTTGAATTCTATAAGAATTCCAACAGGCTTTATATCACAATTGATTTGATTGCTTATAACTTGTGCTGATGTGTGTCATAAGTGTTTGTATCTCTTTTTATGTTCCTGGTTACTGATTCACAATTTGCTCACTTCACAGGTAGACGGAATCATGCTGCTTTTGTTGTGAAGGCTTCTGGAGAAAGTTCTGAATCTTCAACTTCCCTTACTATTTTGAAGTCTGTTCAGAATGTTGTGAGTTTCTCCTTCCATTCCCATCCTTATTGTCTTTCTTTCAAAGAGAAAGAAAAAGTATCAGATTACCTAAGTTTGCTGTATGTTGTTTGTTTGTTGATTTAAAAACAGTGGGATAAACCTGAGGACCGGCTGGGACTTATTGGTTTGGGCTTTGCTGCTATAGTAGCAGTTTGGGCATCAGCAAATTTGATCACGGTAATCTTCATCACTTCTGGACTAATCGCGTAATCGATGAATAAGTGGTATATGAATACGCCATTGTAGAATTTTAACTGAACTATTGGCTTATGGACTTACATGGCCAACTATTATAGAAAAGTTTTGAATTGAAGGTATAATAAGCAAATCCATTCGGGATATCACATTTGAGCTTTAAATAAATGGTTATTTATTAAGGATTTGGAAACCTTTTAAGCAACTATTTCTTCTTTTTTGTCTTTGTGATTTTTGCATATAGGCCATTGACAAATTGCCAGTTATCCCAACTACACTGGAATTAATTGGAATACTTTTCTCCGTGGTAAGAAGTGCAGTGCTACATAATTGATGAGGAATAAAAGCACCATAAATTTATTTATCTATGTGAATTAGTATGTTTCTTGTAATTTAAACTTCTCTTTCTATTTCAGTGGTTTACTTATCGCTATCTCTTATTCAAGCCAGACCGGTAAGCATTTTGGTCACCTTTGTTCAAATTTCCATTATTTTATCTGATATTAACTACATCATAGTATGATTTTAAGACCTATGATTTCATTATTGAAATGATGAAAGAAAAAGAAAATTAATATCAAGGACCAGTGGATGTTCATAATTACAAAAAGAAAAAAAGAAAAAAAGAAAAAACTATTAACCACTTGAGTGATTAATCCTGTTAGAAAGTGGTTAATGATTAACTACCTAATAAAGATATTAACCTCTCAAGTGGTTAATGAAACTTTTTTTTTCTTAAACATGATCATTCACTGTTACTTTTAAAGAGATTGCACACAGTTTGTAAGCAACTTCACTTGAATATTTTCTTAATACAGGGCAGAGCTTTTTCAAATCTTGAACAAGTCAGTATCAGATATCTTGGGCCAGTAAGATGGGCTGCCAAAATGTTACACTAGATTGTGATTTTAAGTACAGATTCTCAGCGGCAAAAGTTGTTATTTATTTTGTTTAAGACCACTATATTACATCAATGAGTTAAATCTTACGTCTATTGCATTGGCTTCTTTGTGTTGAGCATAATAATATAGTGTTGCGATTCTAATGAGGTTCCCCTAACCATGGATATACTATGCTCTTCATTCTTCAAAACCACAAAGAATTAAAATTGTAAAGAACCATCTCAACCCAAAACCTTAAAGTGTTGGGTGAGGGTAGGGGTGAAACTGGGCCGGGCCGGCCTACAAGGGCCTACGGCTCGACCTATATCAGGCCAGATCTGACCTAGTATATTTTGTATAATAGGCCGAGCTTGAGCCTTAAAAAAGCCTGTTTAACAAAATGGCCGCAGACTCACTTTTAAAAGGTCGGGCCTATAAGCCCACAGGCCAGCCTATATTGTTTATTTTAAATAAAATAAAATAGAGTAAGTATGTCTTGAAGAAAAAACAAAAGATATAAATTTAATCAATTGCAATTATTTATAACTTAATTATATTCGATTATATTTTAATAGAAATCTTATTTTATTTCTTATATAGGAGGAACCAACATCTCAACATGTTAGATTGTATATATGAATATATTAAATGATTTTTGGGAGAGTTATACTTACTACAAGCATCATGATTTGTTTGTTGGATTCATGTAGTTATTTTAATTTACATAGTATAGATTTGTTTATTGGATCTGATGAAATATATGTTATTTAAATTGAGCATTTTGTTTACCAAAAAAAAAAAAAAAAATTTAGCATTTTGCTTTCGAAAATGACTTAAGTGCATATTGTATAGTTTTGTTATGATTCATGATTCTGTTTGGACGTTGAAATTATGATTTTTGGTGTAGCAACTGAATTTGAGTTATTTGTAAAGTTGATTCATGGTTCTGCTTGGAAGTTAAAAATTAACAGGCTAACGGGCCAAGCCAGGCCATTTGTTTTTTTATAAACGGGCCAAACCAGGCTAACAGTTAGACTCATACTAGGCTTGGGTCAGGCCAAATTGAAATTTTTTGATGTAGGCTTGGACTTTTCGGGGCAAAGCTTGGCCCAGCCCAGCCCAGCCCACTTTCACCCCTAGGTGAGGGCCTTCCTATTGATTTATATTATATTCTCTAACACACCCCTTCACGCAAGAGCCCTTTGGGCTTGAAGCGTGGATATGACACAAGCCCATTATTGGTTTGCCTTGTGCTGCATAAGCTTATTTTTTGGTCTGCCTCGTGCTTTTCTTAATTAATTCCACTAAAAAGTGGGGGCGGTGAGGATCGAACTCGTGATCATATGATCCTAAGCTCTGATACCCTGTAAAGAATCATCTCAACCCAAAACCTTAAGGTGTTGGGTGAGGGCCTTCCTAATAATTTATATTATATTCTCTAACACACCTCCTCACGCAAGAGCTCTTTGGGCTTGAAGCATGGATATGGCACAAGCTCATTATTGGATTGCCTTGTGCTGCTTAAGCTCATTTTTTGATCTGTCTCGTGCTTTTCTTAATTAATTTCACTAGAAAGTGGGGGCAATGAGGATCGAACTCGTGACCTTATGATCACTTAAGCTCTGATATCATGTAAAGAACTATCTCAATTAAAAAGTGTTGGGTGAGGGCCTTCCTAACGATTTATATTGTATTCACTAATAAAAACCAAACTTCTCAGTTGTATGACAGTTGCAAAACTAGCTATGGGTATGACCGGAAGAAAAAGAAAAAGGAACGCACTGAAAACAACTAAGAAACTAAGAGTCGTTCGTTGTTTACCTCTTGTTGATTTATGAGCAAATTATGGCATGAGAGGACCAATGAGACAGAACACTTTTATGTGTTTCTTATATATTACAAGTCTATGTCTCGTACCACACATTTGACATAACAAATTTCTCACGCTTAATGTTGCCATTGATGCTCGCTGAGTTAATATAATTCGATAATATACCCTCACCTGTGATCTTATATGATCAAATTATGTGAAATGTTTTTAGTCATTAATAGACAAATCAATAGTGATAAGAAATGAAGAAGAAACCAAATGGTGGTAGCTCATTGGTAGTAAGGGAGCTGAGTAAGCAGACAGAGAAGGGCTTTGGGATTTTTATATGTTATTTTTAGGAGAGACTTAAATATCTTCATCCCTAATCTGTTTTACACTTTGAATTAGTCTTATAGCGGAATCAAAGAGTCAAAATTTGTAGGAATATTGGGAGAAATTAACTCGCCTCAAAGAAATAATTAGAGTTGAGTTAACTCCAAAATAAAAAAAATGAAGAAAAAATATTAGAATACAAAATGAGTAAAAAATAATAATTAATTTGTCTATTTACTATTAAGAATCTTCGAATTTAACCTGAATACATGAAATCAGATTGAGCTTAAATTTTAAACTCTTAATTTTCTTTTAGGTGTGTTAACTGTATAAAATTTCTTCATGTCTTGAATTAAGTTGTCATTCAAATCCAATTATGAGTTGAAGTGGACCTCCTTAACAAAGTTATGATTATTTATTTAAGGCGTTATTTTTCTTATACAGCAGCACACATGTGAGTAGTTTTGTTTCTAGTAGAGACGTATGAAATGGGTCCCATATATATTTTTTTAAAAATAAAATAAAAAAATTACTCGTTTTCGAATTGAGTATAGCATGAGATGATTTTTTTATTCGATGAACATAATAAAATGATTTCCCATTTATGAAATGAGTTAAAAGACACACCAATATAAAAAATAGGAAAACAAATAATTTACCATAAAGAAAGGAAAAAAATTAATTTCAAAATAGAAAGGAAATTGATGCAATAATTTTTTTATAAAAATTACATTAATGTAATATCTTAGAAAAATAATAGTAATTTATAATAATAATAAATTATAAATTAGTAGTAATAATATATATATATATATATATATATATATATATATATATATATATTTATTTGATGGTGATAGATAACAAATTATAATATAAATTTTACATTTGATAAAATGATTTTGTGCGATATATGTGCGATATGAGTGCTATTGGAAAATAATTTTGATACTTTGTAATACTCAGATTATTAATAATAAAATAATATTATTACAGGTATTTTTTTGGATTTAAAGGTATTAATAATATTGCTAATAATATTCCATAGCTGATGAGAATGCAAAATTGATGAATGAAAAAGAACAATTAAAAGTTGTGACAGAGGATTTAAAGGTATTTTTTTTTTAATACCTTAAAGTTTGAGTAATGTTTTCATGTTTCTATTGTTACAGACTCACAGTCAAATCATGAGTTTTGCTACTCTTTTAGATCCATTTATGCATATCATCTGTCTATTAAATTGTTCCTCTGATATGAATATTTTTTTTTAATTTATTCTTAATTACTTTTATCTCAGTTTAATTGTCCGCCTTATAAGCTTGATCTCTCTGCAGTAGCACAATTTCGTTTGTCTCTTTTGTTCTCGTAAATCGGTATCAAACTGTTCTCCACCACTCAGTTCTAGTTGTATACAATATAAATTGCTGATAACTAGTTTAAGTCGTTCAAAATCCTTATACAAGTGTTATTGATGTTTTATCCTTATTAGATGATCGATTGTGTTGTAATTTTTTGGATTTTTCCACTGTGTACCATGTATTGTGAATTGTGATGATTTCAGCAGATACAAAACTCGTTTTTGTTATTAGTTGCTTTTTAGGTTTGAATGTACGAACATATTTTCTTCAATTTTCCAGCTAAGTACAAAGTGATAGAAACTATAAGCGAGATAAGGAAAAATCACCGTCGCTATAATTCACAATGGTTAGCGGGTATTAGTTATAGCCAATTCTTCACTGTGTGACTCATTGATAATAAGAAATCATTTGAATGATTGTCAGTGGGACATGACAAACACCGGATGGCTTGGGTCACCAAACAAAGAATGGCTGCACAAATACCCTAGTGAGCAATACTTTCTTATATTAGAATAGATGAAAAATATTTCATAATATCTTGATTGTATCTCAGAGTAATTTAGAGTATCTTATATTCTCTCTTAGGATTGGTTTCCATATATCCATATATTTCATGATTTATTATAAATCTGGCAAATAGAAGTAGGTGCTAGAGGGCAAAGCAGACAAGGGCATTGCAGACAAGGTCAAATCGTTTGTGACAAAGATTGGGGGACAGGTTGCCTTTGGGACAAAGGCCAAACTAGACAGTTCCAGCTTTTTCTCCCCTCAATGCTATGCTGGCATCGAAAAACATGCAAATGGGCAAATAAGACTAATGATTTTTTTCCACCAAAAGTAGAGTATTGATTCAAAAGGATTAATCTTGCTTGAAGCCCTTTACGGCTAAAAAGGTGAGTAAATAAGAAGACTAAAGAATATGACTTTAAGCAAAATGATAAAGAGACCGAAATTGGAGGTGAGATTGACAATGTCTCGGAAGGTGGCATATGAATGCCAATTGAACTTGGAAATGGAATAGTGACGGAACAGGTCATGAAGAATGATACCGCTTTGATGTTATGTTGAAATTATAATTTTAGGTATAGAAGGAGGAAAAGAGAGGAAATGAATACTCAATAAAATCATATTAATATTGTTACTAAGGATGCAGTATGATGATGTACAGGCAAAGCATTAAGCTTTATTTATAGTAATAGAAGAGTCCTAATCCTATTAATGGAAACAAAATAACAAATCATGAAATATATGGAAAGCAATCGTAAGTTATAATTACTCTAAATTACTCTAAGATACAATCAAGATATTATAAGATATTTTTCATCTTTTCTAATAGAACAAAGTATTGCTCACTAAGGTATTTGTATCTAAAGGGATGTATTGAATTTGAGATTTCAAAAGGATTCAATTAGTAAAGAAAGTGCAAATTACATGTATATATACATATATGAAATTTTCATGTGATTTTCATGAACTTTTTAATGAGATCTTTATGAACATTATTTCATGTGATGTTAATGAAAATTTATTTCATGTGATCTTTATGAATAAATTTTTTTATCTTTTATATTTCAATTTGGTTTGGGCCTATAAACTTTAGGGGGTGTTAAATTATGATTTTGAAAGACTTTTTTGAGATAAAAAATCTTACAAATTTTAAAAGACTATTTATAATTGGAGAGATTTTAAAAACTTTTTTAAAAGACTCTTTTTACAATCAAGATTTCATAATATTGGACAATATGGATTTATAAGATTTTAAAAAATCATATGAGTTTAAAGTTATTAAGCATTAGCTTTCCACATATCTAAAGTTATACTAGCCATCCACGCATTAACATCTTCTTATTTCTGCTCTTGGGTTTAACCAATGAGTTAAAAATTATCTTCTTCATTAACTGGTGATACTGAAGATGAAGATGTATCTACTGATTCAATTGAAAATTTATCTGAACGACATTCTTTGTGAAGAAAGTTATGTAGTGCTACACATGCTAGCACAAGCTCTGCTTGTGTTTTAAATGGAAATGGAGGTGTTGACTAAAAAATTGTGAACTGTGATTTAAATATGCCAAATATCCTCTCAATTACATTTCTCAATGATGCATGACGAAGATTGAACACGAAGAATGTATCATTGCCAAACACGAAGAATATTAGGATTTTTAATAGAGTTTGCCACCGAATTATTAAGATTTGTAATATGTATCATTGCCAAACACGAAGAATATTAAGATTTTATGCTCATTATAATCCAAACAATATACAAAAGAAGAAGGTCGACAAAGAATGTATTTGATAAGTTTATTAGTTCAATTTAGAGATTAGATACATGTTTATCGTCAACTTTATACAACTCTGGTAAAAAATAATAATGAAGCACATCATTAATCATGAAGGAGGAATACCCAAACCTGAGAAAATATATGAGAGTAAAAAAAGAACATACCTTGGCTTTGAAAAAATGCTAGAGTAGATTGTGAGACACTTGTAATGGAGAAATCTCAAGAAATCCAGGGGTTAGGGTGAGATTGTGAGAGAGACATCCTATTTATATTTCTCACTAAAAAGTCTCACGAAATCCACACCAATAGAAAATCAATTAAAATTGTCAGATTTTTGAATACCACAATATATTTTTTCCTTTGTTTAAAATCCTGATTGAATACCAATGGATTTGGACGGACTCTAAATTAATATTTTAAAATCCTAATCGAATACCATATGACTTTTTTTCAATCCTTTAAAATCCTAACTGAATACCAATGGATTTTTTTGTCAAAAAATAATCCATTAAAATCTTCTGAAATCCTAATCTAGTACACTCTCTTAGTTTGCAACTTGGTAGGCCTTACATGACGTATTAGGTTTTTTAGTTTTTTATAATAGGTCAGGCCAAACCAATAAATTAAGTCTTTAATAGGCTAATAGGTCAATATAGGCTCTAAGTATTTTAGATAAGCTTAGGCTATTAAAGCCAAAGCCTACAGGCCTAACCTGTCCCATTTATATCCCTAGTCGTAACCTGTGAAGAACATCAACATAGAGAGACAAAACAAACTTCACAATTAAAAAGAAACATGGAACAATCAGCAACAAATGTCTAAAATCATTTAAATGACATTGGATCCACATAAATCATTTAATCAGTGTTTTAATATTTAAAAAATTTTAAAATTACAAAAAAAACAAAGAATTTATTAATGGGTATGTACAAGAAATTTTCATACTCCATATACATATATTTTCATTGAATTTTTTCTTTAACAGTTTTCACTTATTAATCGTCAAAATTCTTATTTCTGTTGTGAAATAAAATACAAATAATACCAAAAAACAATTCTATTTCATTACCAATAGCAACTGTAGCTCTACATTAAATTATTTTATTTTTTTAAAAAAGTAAACGTTAAACAACACTTCATTTCTCAAAAGAAATAAAATCAATAAAACAACCATACAAAAAAGTTATAAATAAAAAAAGGGGCATGAATTTCACTCATGTTTGAAACACCCAATAAACAATTATGGTCAACAAAGACAAAAAATTTCTCTTTTACAATATTCAAAAATGTAAATCAGTTTTTTCCCTAGTGAACAATATAATTACCAATGCATATTCTAAGAGCATGTATCCGTAAAATTTTGAGAAAGGAACGAAACATCGTACATTGTTGCAGAATGGCTGGGTTCCGGGTGGTGAATGCGAATAAGAAAAAAAAGGTTAGAAGAAAACCCTAATTAGAAAAAGATGAAAGAAGAATAAGAAATTAAGAAGAAAGCAATATGTTATCTGGTCACACACGCAAAGCAGCTCAAAATCTTCATCTGTTATCACTGTTATAATTTTAGCTAGGGCCAACTTATAATTTGAGTTAGAGCCCAATTGTAATTACTTATATAATTATATATAATAAATAAAATTTGTCGAAATTTAGCTGGGGCCCATGCCCTACCTAAATATAACGTGGCTCCGCCACTGTTAACAACACTATTTTACATTTTTACCTTCAACTTTGCTATTCACTTATTTAGATTGTTTATCTCTCTGCAAAATGTTTTCTCTATGTATAAGTTTTTTTTTTTTTTTTTATAAACAAAAGGGGTTAAACCCCAGCAAACGAACAACAAAAAACAACTAACAAGAAAGAGTAACTACATGTTCTCTCCCTACAGACGCAAGATCTGCCATAAATAACAGAAAAATTCCACATGGAGGCTCCTCGAAAGAAATCTGGTCAGCCTGCTCCTCTGAGTTTAACAAATAAATTGCCAGCCAATCAGCACACATATTCCCTTCCGTAAAAGTATGTTGAACTTGAACTTCCCAATCCTTGCCAATCCACATTCGTATATGAGAAATCAAACGCTCCTCACGAACTGATGCATCCTGTTTGGTGAGCACATTGATTGCTGTAAGCGAATCACTTTCCAGAATGACCCTTCTATAGCCAGCATTCCAAGTCACCTCAAGGCCATGAAGTATGCCCCAAAGTTTCGCTTTATAAGCTGAACAAAATCCAAGTCTAAAAGAGAAACCTGTTAACCAGTTACCTTGCGAATTCCTTATCACCCCCCGGGCACGCAGCCAACCCCGGATTACCACGAGCTGCTCCATCCGTGTTTATTTTTACAAAACCATCTAAAGGGAACTGCAAACTAATATATAAATGACTAGATCCAAATTTCTTGCTATGATTACACGCTTCAATATAGCTCACCTCAATATCCTGAACCAACTTTCTGATTATCTCCATCTTTAACTCCAAAGGAAGATTTTCTTGATCCTGACAATGCATATTTCTCCAATGCCATATTTTCCAACAGGTTACCAAAAAAATTGTACGCCACCTCTCATGCACGCCACTTTGAACATTCACAAAGTTGTTGGACAACCATTGTTCAAGATCTTGATAGAAAATTCATCTGCTAACTGATATGGAATGAGACGATCCCAAATCTTCTTTGCATTATTGCAATCTCGCAATGCATGCATAATAGTTTCCTCATTATCCCTGCACCACGGACAGCTACTATCACCATCATTCCACCTAGCAGTACTACTCTTGGTTAATAATCGATGATGCATCAGTTTCCAACCAAAAAATTTCACCTTCTATGGACCATCCCAAGACCAAAGACAATTCCACCTTTTCCTATCTTTTTCATCCGTGTTTCCTTGACCAACAATGCATTTATAAATATCTCTAACAGTGACTGTATCACTGTTATTGAAGTTCCATAACAACCTGTTTGTACCATCGTCCTCTGTTGGTGGCAGCATGCTAGAAATCATATTAGCTATTTGGCTCGGAAGCAATTTAACTAAACTAAAGTTATTTATGATTTAGTATGCTACCATGGACAATCCTCTGTATTGTTGAAAGTGTTACTTCTTTAATTTTTGAGAAGCATGTTGTGACAGTCCTCATGTGTATAATTCTTTCAATTGAAACTGCTATCCAGGTGGAGGATATATTATTTTATTATTATCAATCTAGAGTATTACAAAGTATCAAAATCAATTTCCAATATCACTCATATAGCACATATATCGCACAAAATCATTTTATTAAAGGTAAAATTTATATTATAATTTGTTATTTATCACCATCAAATATATATTTATATATATATTATTACTACTGATTAATAGTTTATTATTATTATTATTATAAATTATTATTATTTTTCTTGGATTTTACAGTATTAATGTAATTCTTTACCTTTTCCTATTGATTCCACAGGAAGCAGAGGCTAAAGCAGCAGAGTCTGAGGAAAGAGAGCGTTCTGTAAATGAACGCTTATCTCAAACCTTGTCTCAAATTAATGTTATTGAGGCTCAGGTTCACCAAGTTCTTGAATGAAAGTATGTCTATAATGGTGGTTTTGCATAAATATGACTTACTTTAGTGGTGAACTACAGATTTTGTGTCTTAGAGCTGAACAGACTCAATTAAGTAGGACACTTGAAAAGGAAAGACTAAGGGCAGATAAAAATAGGCAGGAATACCTTGCTGCAAAGGAGGAAGCTGACACTCAAGAAGTTCATGCGAGACAGCTTGAGGAAGATATCAGAGAAATTAGGCAGAAACACAAGCAAGAGTTACAGGAGGCATTGATGCATGGGGAGAAAGCTACTTTCTGCAAGCATTATTGGACTCATCTGGAAGTTTCTCTGAAGGAGAAACTCTGGAGAGCCACGCACGAGTCCTTACTACATGAAGAGCATGACACCTAGTGCTTTTGAATCTACACTTCGTCAAAAGGAGGGTGAACTTGCTCATTATATGTCACGATTGGTATGTTTTGTTACCTTTGTTCCTTGGATATTTGGGACATCAGCTTCCAATTCATAGCTCTATTATTTCTTTTGTTATGGTGAACTTGACATAATGTATAGGTTATGAATTTATATTAAACTGATACATAGAACACATGATCTTGATGACATTTTTTCATATTTGGAAATTCCAGGCATCAATGGAATCTATTCGTGATTCTCTTGCTGAGGAGTTGGTCAAAATGACAGAACAAGTGAGTTCGTGTTTACTACTTACTGGTACCCTTTTCCTTAAGCATAATCTATGTACCCTCCCTGCAGTGTGAAAAGTTGCGCGGAGAAGCTGCCTTTTTACCTGGCTTACGAGAAGAGCTAGAAGCACTGAGGAGGAGGCACTCTGCTGCTTTGGAGTTGATGGGGGAACGTGATGAAGAGGTGCTTTCCCTTTTGCCAACTTTTTCTTCTTATAAGAAACAATATCCTAGACACAATTCGGTGTTTAGTTGTTGAATGTAATGGTTGGATAGTGCCTGGCCTGCCTATTCCCAGTAAGAAAATCAAAGCAATCTTATCTAGTTTGTAGAGGAACTCAGTCGCTTATAAATTTTCTTCTGTTGAATGGTTCTGACTTCAGAGCCAACAAGGACATGGACAACTGAATCCTTCTCTGTCTTCTAGAAAATTTAAAAGATTAAATGGAAGAAACCCTCTAATTGTGCAGAAGGGAACCCATCAAAAATTTCATTTTTATTTGGTCTTTTATTTGCTAAAGTTATTACATGGTGTTGATATTTTGATTCAGTGCTAACTTTTGTTTCATATTTGCTTAGGTATAAGCATAATAATCTAAGTTAAACAACACAATTACCATGACTTTTTTGTTCTTCTATTTTTTCAATTTACACAACAGAACAATGAAACACTTAACACGGTTAGCCCAAGGTAAAACGGACAAAACAAAAAGAAAATGAAGGATCTTTTGGGCTGTAGTTATACTGAGGTTTCGGACTTTGCTACTGTCCTGTTTCCTTGTATGCTTTTATCCAAATAGAAAAGAATTACTGCTTTCTATCTAAAAGAAGTTGAATGTGTTTAGCTGGAGGTACTTCATGCGGATATTGTGGACTTAAAGGAAATGTACTGAGAACAAGTCAACGCGCTTGTGAATAAGGTATATTTATTAAACAACTTTTTCTTTTCTTTCTTAGATGCCCTTGTTATCTTTTTCTGAATCTATTTATTTTGTCCAGAATGCTTTCCCCTATCTTTTATCTATCCTTTTTGAATTCTAACCTTGCTACATATGCTTGCAGATCCAGAGAATGAGTTCATCAATGGTTAGTGGCTAATTGAGCTGAGAAAAAGAAAGAGGGGAGCGGGTGGTGAAAGTTTAAGTGTCTGGTAATTGTTTGAGATGGCCATGCCCTTTAGCTTTGTGTGATATAAATGGAACAATCATAGTATATTGAAGATTAATGCGTTCTTTCTCCGGAGAATGTTTCCTCCCAAGCTCGTCATTGGAAAAGTTATACATTGTTTGTCTGGGCAACAGTTGCTCAAAATCAAAGTAATTTTGTATAGTCAATCTCTCTAGACCATATTCAAGCTTCAGAAGGTTTGGGGAATGTTTTGATGAAGATACTCAGTAGCTATGGGATTCTTTCATTCATTCATTTTTTTGGGTGGGTGTTTGTATGTTGTCTCAAAGGAACACATATGAAAAGTGAGGGGTGCAAGAATTGACTATTCGATGTTATATGTATCATTCCTTGAATCTGTGATCATGTTATACGTTTGTTTTCTTGTACACGCTTCAAATTCTTGCATTCGCTAATAAAAAACACCAAGTAGTATCAGTCAATGAATTACGCGATATCAGATGGATGAATTGCTTGCCAGCCAATTAAGGGCTATTGTCAATTTGCCACCATATGATCATAATTTCAGCAATAAAAAGAAAAAAAAATTTGTATGATCATAATTGTTGCGACTCGGCAAGTGCACCGGTCGTTAAATAATAAAAGTGTATCAGAGTACGAGATCGTTCCCACGAGGATTGGTTTTCAAGCACTAGTTCGCTAATCGCGGTTTAGTTGGACAATCAAGATTGAAATTTAAAGAATTGAAATTGAAAACAATTAATAGCATGCAAATTAAAATTCAGAATTAAAAAGCAATTGGAAAGATGATTGATTTAAAGATTAAAAACAAGCGTAGTTAGGATTTCGACTTCCCCCAATATCCTCTATATGCTATGAATTAAACTGTCGAGAATCTGCTCTTAATATAATGTCAATCAATTCTTTCTAAGTTAATTAGGGCTCAATTCCTTGTTACTCTAAATCTATGTGATCTTGAAAGAACTCTAGTTCCCCGATTATTCCCCAAGAAAACATGCATTACGATCAAGAATTTAAAGATTGCACAATTGCCCTATGTCTATCCCTAGATTACAAGGATTGTGATAAATTTATCAAATCAGGGTTCATGCACCAACATCCCTATTATCATACAATTCCCCTAAATCAATCTATAAGGAGCAAACTCATAAAAAGCATTAAAGACAGATAAATCTATTCAAATATAAAAAGAGAAGAATTTAGAGACAATTTAATTTATAAACATAAGGATTTAATTGTGTTTCATCTACCCCTAACTACAGAAAAACTTAGCCTAACATACTGAATTCAAAAGCAATAAGAAAGAAAATAGTTCCCAAGCCTCCGTTGGTGTGATGTTGACTTGGCTTCCCAGTGCTCCAACACTCCGCGACAGGATTCCTCCTTTGGGTTTATGTGTATTTCCCCGTGGTGTGGCTGTGAATGAGTGAATTCCATTGACCCCAAACTCCCTATTTATAACCTTTGAAGCCATATCTTTTAATTTTTCATCAAATCTCCCCATGAATCTCTATCAATTCCCAATCAAATCTTGATTTGTTTATGCTTTTATTTAAGATCTTACAGATTGGGCTTCAAATCTTTGTTATGATTCATTTATCAGTTCTTAGCACCAAATCTTGTGGATTTACCTTCAAACTGAGCAAGATATCAAAACATTAGCTCAATTTTCAAATCTTTATAATTTTATCATATAACAACTTGATTCCATGTCGTCTACCATATAATTCTTGTAGAATTTAGCATAAAAATATGATAAACCAAAGATTTATCAATAATTCGTATCATGTTATTATCAACCCCAATGGTTTGGTTAAGGAGGTGTTTTAGTGTATAACAAAAGCAAAATGACATTGAACCTATTTTTCTTTTTTCTTTTTTGTTTAAAAATAAACAAATAAAAGTAATGTGTTAGGTTATCAGGGATAGCATAAGTGGATTTAACATCATATTTTAACTCACTTTATGGGTTATTTATGTAATATTGATGTCTGTTTGTTTATGTAACAAAAACAAGGTATTTATGTAACATTGACGCCTCTGATTATTACTCGAACATACTATTGTGATTATATAATAATATAAAGTTTAGGATCTTTTAGTTGACAGTATGAGCTTTTCCTTTGTAATTTGTTGTGCACTTTACCAAATTAACGTGTTTATTAACTACTGCTTATAAGTTAGTGAAAGAATATTAAGAAATTCCGTTAAAACTAATTTAACAAAAAGTGGGATCCAATCCATTTTAAAATAGCAAATTTGTTTTAGTAAATGTTTCTTATTGCACCAATTCCCCCGTTTTGTTATTATTTATATCAATAGCCCTGCATTTTTGTTGCAGATAACTCTACCCCAGATACAGGGAAAGGAACTACATGACACAGAAAAATCTCAAGGTCTGTTACACTATCTGGTAGCAGAATTTGTGCATTAAAGTATATAGGACAGGACTATTCGGCATTAAGCTTTGTGCAACTCGAGAAAACTCTATGCAAGAGAAACAAATAGTTATAGAACATACTATAAACAGATGATTGTTGAATGTACTAATTGAAAACCAAGAAACATAGTGTAGTAAAAACATTAAAATCAAAAGGAGAACATTAAAATGAGTTCAGTGTTAACAATGCACGTGTCATGAATTTGGCTGGTGCAAAAATAGATAGTAATAATAATAATCATCATTTATTACATTGTCAAACAGTGAATAAATCATGAATTTGGCTATTAACTCTCTCATCTACAATACTTTTATTTAATTTTTCTTCTTCTTCTTAAGAACATTATATTGTCACATAATAATAGAAAAGAAACATAATTAGTTTCCTGTGCATGATTGATAGAATCAGCTAAAGTTCAAATATTGAGGAGTAGAGTATACATTATTCTTCTGATGCAAATCAACTCCCATTGAAGATTCACGTGCAAGCAAATGCAAATCTCAGCCAAATTTTCAACCATAGAAGTAGGAGCTGCCACATGTCCAAATACACATATACCATATCAGACCATACTTATTTGATCAGCTTCAATATTATCTTTAAAAAAAAATTAAAGACTTAATCTTAAACTCTTCACAAATAGTATTATAGTATTATACATATGATTTATTTACAAGTATTATTATACGTATGCGAAATCTATGGTAGCTTTTGTTATTGTATTGGCCAAGACTGCGTCACATACTGACACGTGCCTTCGTCTCCAACTTCCATAACAACAGTTCACTCTCCTTTTCTGATTCAATTGCATCTCTCTCTATCTCTCTCTCTCTCTCTCTCTGCATTTCAAGCGCCACTCCAAAATCTTCATCAGAGAACAACAACAACAAGGTACCACCTTTCAAATCTCTCTCTCTCTCTCTTTTTCTGTGTAGTATGTGATTGCATTTGGGTTTTCAACTTTCTTGATTTCTGTGATTTCTCTTTTCAATCCCTTTTGAACTAAACAAAATGATGGTGAGATTTCACTTTCCCCGCATTGCATGGGAATAACGATGTTCATGGAAAATCCATCTTAAAAGTGCTTTTTTGTAATATAAAATGAAGTTCTGGGGTTGTCAGATCTGAGAAAAAGTATGCAACTTTTGTTGTTGAGATTGGTCTCTTGTTATACTTGATGTTGTCATGTGCTGCAACTGATGAGTTCTATGATTGATGTTTATTGTTCTGATGATGCAGAAGATTGTGTAAAGGTACTCCTTTGCGAGGTTTGGAGAAGGTTTTTAACGTTTCGCCATGCGGGGACGACAGCGAGTAGCATCCAGGGAATACATATATGTGCATGATAAAGATGAAAATTCAGGTACCTTACTGTTTTTGCTGTCTTCTTTAAGTATGTGCTTTTGTTTTTTCTTTATTGTTTTTTTTTTATTAAGTTTAAACTAACTAGTTGCATTTAATTATTTAAAAATTATGGGTTTATTGATTTTATATTTGAGTGATCCCACGAGTTATTAAAGGTATCCAATATGCTATGGAGTTGAATATAACATCCGAGACAGAACTCTTGGGGAAAAATAATGGAAACGGCTACTTTAAAACGGATTATACTACAAAGCAATTCAGACTATAGTATCTTCATTGCATAATCGTATATGTTTACATGTGTGTTTCCTGAACTTCTTGCTGATGAATACCCTTTTTTTTTTGTGTGGGGGGTGGTATCTGTAATATATGCTTAGAAATTGAGTACATATTTAGACAATCCATTGCTTTTATGAGCTTGCGAAATTTGGTTTGAGATTTTTAGAAAATTGTGCATGCAAACATACTTAAGAAGGTTAACAAGTCAACCAACAATGAGCTTCTGTTTCATCTGCTTTATGTAGTTTGAAATTCTTACTTTTCTTTCTGATGGGAGAGAAAATGATGGAGAAGTGTGGTTTAGTCATTTGATAAGAACCTTGGGATGCACCACCCCAAAAGCTAGCTCAAAGGGTGGGAGTGCCCAAGGCCTTACAAACTCCACATCAGTTGCCCATACAACCAATGTGGGACTCCAAGTCCCATACCTTGCAAATGGGTCCCTAACATAATAATATAAACCATTAAAAATGCCTTCACCCATCACCTTAAAGTTTTGGGTTGAAATGGTTCTTTACATGGTATCAGAGCTTAAGTGACCATAAGGTCACGAGATCGATCTTCACGCCCCCCACTTTCTGGTGGAATTAAAATAAAAGCACAAAAGGTAAACCAAAAATTGGGCCTGTGCAATATCCACGCTTCAAGCCAAAGGGCTCTTGCGTGAGGGGGTGTGTTAGAGAATAATTAAACCATTAAAAAGGCCCTCACCTATCACCTTAAGGTTTTAGGTTGAAGTGGTTCTTTACATGGTATCAGAGCTTCAGTTACCCCGTGTTCGATCCTCACCGCCCCCACTTAAATAGGGTTTATGGTTGGTTATGTTCAGTTGTTCATTTAGAAGTTCCGAGTGTACTGGTACTGGTTTAAGTTTGGTTACCTTTTTGTGCTTTTTTTTAATTTAATTCCACTTTAAAGTGGGGGAGCGGTGAGGATCGAACTTGTGACTTTGTAGTCACTCAAGCTCATGTAAAAAACCACTTTAACCCAAAACCTTAAAATGTTGGGTAAAGACATTTCTAATGGTTTATATTATTCTCTAACAATTTTTCCATTTCTTTTTAACTTTTTTATAACCTATTTTGGAGAAATTGGTTTCTACTTTATAATGATATCACTAAATACAGCATTTCATTCCTCATAGCTTCAGTGCGTGTACCAAATGTCAAACCTGGTTGGCGGCGCACTTTGCCGCATGTAATAGTGGCTTCTCTTTCTTCATTCTTGTATGGCTACCATATTGGGTATGTTCTTCTACACTAAAGCTTGACCCACCTTCGTTCTTCTTGTGTATGATTGAAATTATCTATTTGCTTATTGCTATTGGCAATGCAGAGTAGTTAATGAAACCTTAGAGAGCATTTCTATAGATCTCGGCTTTAGTGGGAATACAATGGCTGAAGGTACATTATCTTAAAAAAAAAAAAATTTGGTACATACTTTATCTTATTTTTTTCTGATTAACATTAATCTCTTCATCATCTTTTACTTCTAAATATTTATCGGCTTTCTTTTATTTTTATGTTAATGCAGGTCTTGTAGTAAGTATGTGTTTAGGAGGGGCTTTTGTTGGATCTTTATTCAGTGGGTGGATTGCAGATGGGATTGGGCGTAGAAGAAGTTTCCAGTTGTGTGCTTTGCCTATGATCATTGGGGCAGGAATGAGGTATCAGCTGCATAAGTGGCGAGTTAATTTCTATCTTTCATTATTTGTATCTCCTTGCATTCTTATGGAATAAAACTTGCATTTTATTTCTTTACAGAAAGTACAAAAGCTATGCTGTTTACTGATAATTTATATGCTCAAAGTATAGTATGTTCCTATTTCAGAGGAGGTTAATTTTCTTCTAACGTGTTTAATGTTTTGGAGTTTGAACTTCCTAGTTCCTTCTAATGTGGGAATTGGAAAATGTGAACAAATTTAGTAAGCCTTGTTTCTTCAGTGAGAAAATGGTGTTATCATCTCTCTTTTATGATCAATGAAGAAATTTACTTGAATCCAGTTATTTATCTATCCCTTGTGTGTTTAGTTGAAGCATCGAAATCCATTCAACAATCTCTGACTTTATGTTCAAGATGAGGTTTCCTATTGTATGTCTTCAATTTGAATTTTCTTTTTCAAGTTACTTTTTTGGAGATATTCCAATCGGTTCATCGCTTCCCGACTAATTCGATTCGGGGTGGGTCCCGAGATTAAGGCTTTAAACTCCTCCCAAAGACGATACTAGGAAGGATTGAACATATATTCTCACCCCCCACCTGCTCAGTTCCCTAGCACCAACTGAGCTACCATTATTTGGTTTTTTTCAAGTTACTTTTGGTAGACATAATTTGTAAATAGAAATCAGAACAAATCAGGAAGAAATCACTTTACAGCTCTAATAATCATCATGATAAAACAATGGAGAGCCCCTTTCTCATGCTTTCTTTTTTATATTTATTTTACTATTTTTTTTTCAAAATAATGTCATCCTATTCCAAGATGTTTTCTATATAAAACAGAAGATAATCTAAGAAAAAGAAAGGAGGGAGAACAAGAAAGAAGGAAAAGAATCACAATGATAAAACAACAGATAAAGCTATAAACTTATTATTCACAACTTTTGCAGTGCAACAGCGAAAACCCTATGGGGCATGCTTTTGGGAAGGTTATTTGTTGGTACTGGAATGGGACTTGGCCCACCTGTTGCAGCTCTTTATGTCGCTGAGGTATATTAGATAATATCATCAATATTGTTTTCTCTACAGTATGAGATCACAGTATATTTCAATAAAGATCTTTTCAATTACCTTGAACACTTACAAAATCCACTTGCATTTATAGGTCTCACCTCCAGCTGTACGGGGTACTTTTGGGGGCTTAACTCAGATTGCAACATGTCTTGGACTCATGGGTGCTCTCTTTATTGGAATTCCAGCCAAGCAAATAGTGGGTTGGTACGGAATGATAAATAAGCTTGGTGAAATTCATGAACATGTGTCCAATTACAGTCACTTTTTTCCAGCTGTATTTTTTAAAAGGTAGAAGTTTATGTGGAAATTATGTGCTCAGGTGGCGGATTTGTTTCTGGGTATCTGTCATTCCTGCTACAGTACTTGCCCTTTTCATGGAAGTCTGTGCAGAGAGTCCTCATTGGCTTTTCAAGGTTATCTACTCTCCATGTAAATTATCAACAACTTCCAAGTACTAACTAAAGTTGGTTAACTTTTGGCTATTTTGGATCCTTTGTTGGTGGCTAATTGATTGAGTGGAATGAAGAACTATAAAAATGTTGATCCTGCTCATGGCTTATAGATATTTAAGTGTGAACTTGATCATTGTTATGATATATAAAGTTTGATGCTCGGATAGATAGATGGATTAGTAAGAGAGAGATAGGTAATAGAACCTACATGTGCTAAGATCCCTCTTTTATTTTGCTTTTATTTTTTGTTTAACTTGATTCTAAAGAGCGGTTTTAAGTGCTGTTTCTTCAATATCCCGTCAATATTATGCTGATATGGTGCTATTCGAAGGCTCTAATGCTAGGTGACTTGTGTTTGACCGTGTTGTTTCTTTTGCTTAGTGAGAAAAAGGAGACTCTGTTCCCATTATGAATGATGCCTCTTTTCTAGATTTCTGAGTTGTCCTCTCACAATAATTAAGTCCCTTGTTAAATAACAATTAAGTACATCCTTCCTGATGTCTATTTTTAACCTATTTAATACTTGTTTTATAATTTATTTTGTGAGAAGAATATACCATACTTCCTAACCGTATTTATTTCCTTTTTTTAATTAAGGTTATTTGTCTACACAAGCACTTATATTTCTTTGACTTTGTTCAGAGAGGAAGAACCATTGAAGCTGAAACTGAGCTTGAGAAGCTCTTGGGAGGAGTACATGTGAAACCTGCAATGACTGAATTGTCAAAGTCTGACAGAGGTGATGAGTCTGATACAATAAAACTCTCGGAGTTACTATATGGCTGCCATTCTAGAGGTACTTTAATAATGTTTGTTTATCTTTTCAATCCTCTAGATGATTGCTTAATCATTCCATAATTTGTAAAAGTTGTTTGTTTTGCAACAGTATATAGTTGTGTCGTGTTGGCTGTCGCTAAATCACTAAATGCTTTTTGCAGTGATGTTCATTGGATCTACGCTTTTTTCTTTGCAGCAGCTATCTGGCATAAATGCTGTTTTCTATTTCTCCTCAGCTGTCTTTGAAAGTTTTGGTGTACCATCTGATCTTGCAAACACATGTGTAGGAATTTGCAATTTATTGGGTAACTGCTGGCTTAACTCCTTTGTTTTTGCATTTGTTTTTCTTTGTAATTGCTATATATCTCTCTCAACCTTTGTTGTGTATGCCATTTCAGGGTCAATTGTTGCAATGATTCTAATGGATAAACTTGGAAGGAAAGTGCTTCTCCTGGGTAGCTTTTTTGGCATGGTAAGTGTAAGAGAATATAATATAAAAGCATTAAAAAGACCATCACCCAATGCCTTAAGGTTTTGGGTTGAAGTGGTTCTTAACATGGTATCAGAGCTTCAGTGACTATGAGGTCACGAGTTCGATCCTCACCGCCCCCCACTTTCAGGTGGAATTAAGAAAAGCACAAGGCAGACCAAAAAATGGGCTTGCGCAGCAAAAGGCAGACCAATAATGGGCTTGTGCCATATCCACGCTTCAAGCCCAAAGGGCTCTTGCGTGAGGGGGTGTGTAAGAGAATATAATATAAAGGCATTAAAAAGACCATCACCCAATGCCTTAAGGTTTTGGGTTGAAGTGGTTCTTAACAATAAGAAAGAAAAGTGAAAATCATAACTTCGCTGAATTAATCTTTTCCAAACTTGAATATTACTTGCATAAATTTTCATTAGATTTTGTTGTAAAAGTTCAAACCTCACTGTAATTGTCTACAAGTCAATAATTGTTTTTTTATTCATCTACTCTAAATGGATTTCCAGAGGAATTAGGAAGCCGACATAACCATTTAGCTCCAAAGCAATGTTTTTAGACACCAAATTACTAAGTTCCAAACGTCCCTCCTTGGGCTTGAATAAAAGCTACTTATAATCTTATGTGGTGAGATTGCTTAAATTTTTGGCCAAGTCAAGCAAGCATGCTTAGTTTTTCGAATACAGTCTTGGGGCATTTAGCTAGGGTGTGCTTGGTAGGCAATTGGAAGGTAAAGGATCAGAGAATGAAATTCTCTATCTAGTACTGCAATAGAATGACAAAATATATACAAGAGGAGAGTATCTCCATCCATGATTTTAGGACCAAAATCTGTTACCACAAAATTTGGATTGATTCTATATTGACATAGCTAGTAAAAGAATGACAAACAATCCTATCTAATTTACAGTATACTAATCAGGAGAAATAAACTCCTAAAATTAGTACGAATAACAATTAACTGGATTAAGGCTAGATTTTTTAACCAGAATCTCCTGTAATCTTCAGTGAAAAATGGGAATCTACCCAAACTTATTATGCTCAATACATTGCCATTTTCCCCCACTTCATAATCCACTTGCTTATTTTCACTTTTAGCAAGCTCGCCAAGAGTGTGACTTTACTTAGGCGATTTGCTACCTTAGGAAGCCATTTAATTGTACGAATTTTCCTATGATGCTGTTCAAGAATTTGTTTTCTTTCCAATTATTACATTTTCTACTAAATTTCATAAGTTAGGTTATGAGATTTATATTATCTGACGTTTACTGATTTTTCTTGTTTAGGCTGTAGCAATGGGTGTTCAAGTCATTGCTGCAAGTTCTTTTGCATCAGGATTTGTAGCGATGTACCTATCTGTTGGTGGCATGTTGCTGTAAGTGATCAGAAAGCTTCGACTTGCATTTTTATTTTTATTTTTATTTTGAGGGTGGTTTGGGGGGAGGGGGGAACAAAAGACAGAAAATTGGAATTATTATATGGAAAATGGGTAGGAGTGGGGAGAAAGGACTACGTTAGCAATGATGGTTTTCAGAAATTGCATCCTTAATTTGTTGTTGCATCAGATGCACCAGTAAATGTATGTATTAGCAAGTGGTTAATATAGATTTTTTTTCAATCTCATTCTAGCTGCACAATCACCGGGCAAAAAATCTAATGCGGCTTTATGAATGTTCATTAATATTTCAAAAATATGTGCATTTCATTGTTTATTCTGAAATGGACTGCTACATAGACTGTTGTTCACAGTGCTTATGAATCCAAAATACCTTGATTCCTTCTTTTGCACTGCCAAATTACTAAAAAGATCTCTACAAACTTGAGAGATCAAGTTTCATGATATGTGTTGCTAAATTTGAAGTGAACAATGCAGATTTGTGATGTCATTTGCTCTCGGTGCTGGTCCAGTTCCTTGTCTCCTCATGTCCGAAATACTACCTAGCAAGATCAGAGCCAAGGCAATGGCAATTTGCTTGGCTGTGCATTGGGTAATTGTCTTCTGCATGCATTCATTTAATTACTTCATCTGAAGTAATTAATTCAGGGCATTCTTATGAACTTGAAATCCATTAAAATGTTTGTTCTTATTGTAGTCTTTTACCTAATTTTTATCTCAGATATTGCTGGTAAAATTTTTATGATGTTCGAGTTTCAAAACTAAATTCTGCTGAAATATTTGAGTGATATGTTCATTTATATTCTAGCAAGGTCCTTCCTTTTATGCCTGTCAGTTTTATGTAATAGATAATTGGTAACTTGACATGGTAGCAGAGTATGAATGTTGAGAAAGTTACTGAATAGAGAAATCTTGATAACCCTGGTGAATAATCAATAGTATTCTAATAATCAGTCTTGGTGACTTATGTTGATTTCTGTTGACTTATTACTTCCATGGTGCATTAAAATATACATGTCACTTAGTTTGGCTTTTTTTATCCCCAACCCATTTCCTTCTCAATTTTTTTCAAGTTCTCTGAGATTGTAAACATTTCTATTACAGGTGATAAACTTCTTTGTTGGTCTATTATTTTTGCGCTTGCTGGAGCAAATTGGGCCACAACTCGTGTATACTACTTTTGGTTCATTTTGTCTGTTGGCTGTGATTTTTGTGAATAAATATGTTCTGGAAACAAAAGGGAAGTCACTTCAGGAAATTGAGATTGCACTTCTTGCACAAGAAGCAACCTAAATGAGAACTAAAGAGGCCATATCATATGGATGAGGTATTGGCATATTTTCATTTGTTGAATCAGTTGTGCAAAACCTTTTTGGTGAAAAAAGAAAAGAAAAAGCTTCTTTCACATAGAATTTTCAATTTGCTTAGAAAATTTAAGTTATAAAGTGAATTCTTCTAATGGTATAAGCAGAAATTCCTTGTGCTAAATGCAACAGTTCACAAAAAAGAAAAGAATAAATGAATTTTCCTTTGGATTCTTGTTCTGTGGTCTTGAAGTTAATAATAAATATGGGTCTCAAAAGTTTCTAGCATCAATTATTTCTGGATGAATTTTGTCACTACTCCTTTTGATTAATCCTGAGCAATTGTACTCTCAAAATAATAGCCAAATAAAATATATAATTCAAAGATTCTTTGTTGTTATTGTGGCTATATTAATCCACCCTTATTTCTTTATCTTACTGATTTGCAGGAAAGTTTCTGCATTCTGCATCTGTGGTCCAGTTTTAGGAGCCTTTTTTTCTTTTTCTTTTTTGTTATCATCCCATGCTAGAGTTGGAGTCTTTCATTGAGTGCTCACTAAAAGGCATTTGTAAATTTGAGAGTTTTCCTTTTTACGTAAGATTGGTGAGCACATTATGTGGCCATTGATACTTTATGGGAAATTGTAATTGCTAACTATAAAATTGATATCAGAGCTTTGCCTTCATATTATATGATAGAAGTGAATCAATCATACTCGTTGAATTTCTTCTAGTAAAGACCAAGATGCGTTTACACTTAATTAAAAAATTGAAGTAAAATCAAATTTTCTTAATCAGTTTGATTCGGTTTGGTCTAGTCAATTTCTTTTTCAAATAAACACAAATTTCTTTTTATTTGTAAATAAACACAAAATTCACTTTATATATTGCAACGATAAATATATTTTAAATTTTTTTATCAGGTTAGAAAATCATTCCTTTTAACAGAAAGTGTTAGCTAATTTAACTGGTAAAATTCTTTGTAGGTATATGTCGCTTTTCCAAATCAAATATATGTGACAAAAAAATATATTCCTTTAGGTAATGTTTGGTCCGGGAGAAATTTTTTTTTACTAGGGAAATGTGATTGATAGGGAAATGGTTGGAAAGTGAGTTTGGTAGGAAAATATACAAAAAGTTGTTTGGTTGATCGAAATATTACCGGAGAAATTTATTTAAATATGCAAAATCTATGTTCGGGAGAAACTTTGCACCTGTTTTTTCACTTCCCCAGTTATCTCAAAATACCACATCTCAAGTGGTATTCTGTAACAGTGAATTTCATCCAAAAATAAACACAAAAGTCATTTTTCCATCTATCCTCTTTGCCTAGTATTTTTTGAAAAAACCTGAACCAAACGTGGTATTTTTCAATATCCACTTACACTTTCCCATTAATCCCAAAATAAACCTTCAACCAAACACTACCTTAAGGTATGTTCAAATGAATAATTTCTCGAACCAACTATATCTGACCCAAAGAAAAATAACTTAGGTATGTTTTGACGAAGAATTTGGAGGAAATAAAAAGAAAAAAGAATCAATTTTAAATTAAGAGAATTATATATATATATATATATATATATATATATATATATATGAGATTTAAGCTTCGTGACGGGAACAAGTCAAATCATTCTCGCAGACTCATCAAACCCTGTACCAAATCTTTTCTCCTTTTCTTTTTATTAAAAAACCGGTGGGACTCACGAATTTTATTTATATATGTATATAATCAAAAAAAGACATCATAATGATTTATCATTTTACTTATTTTATTATAAAAAATGAAAAAAGTATTTTCTTCAAATAAAAATTTATCATCTCTTTTCTTTTCTTTTTTTCTAAAATTATCTGTGCCAAAATATAATAGTTTTTTTAAATTTTATCTTTTAAACTTATGATTGTTTTGTATAATATGGATCCAATTGATGGGTCGGGCTTGGGCCAATGTGACCGAACCCAAATTGATTCCCCGATTTTTTGTTAGTAGCGACACTGCAGAATCTGACCCGACGAAGAAGAAGAAGAAGGATCATAACAGAGCAGAGCTTCTTCATCATTTTCTTCTGTGAGTTTCTATTTCATATTTATATGAATCCAAATTTTAAGTTCACCCTAAAAATTCTTCTTTTATTATAATTTATATGTATATTTTATTTTTAAATCGGAATAAATGTTTTCTTTACTACTGCAACTTCTTGCTTCCCAGGTGTTCGACACAATGAATGAATGAAGCCTTGTCGCTTTAGTTATAGTCTAGACCATTGGTGTTAATTGTTCATGATTTTTCACATTCATTATCTTTGGGTGGGTATTAAAAGTAAAAGCATCGTGATTCGTTTAATCATTGCCTTGCAGGTGTTTGATGGAATGTGTAGCTGAAAGAAAACTTCCGTTATAATTATCTCTTTGAACTCACTAGCTTTATTTATTTGTTTGATGTTTAATATTAGTTTGTTTGGGTAGCTTTGAATGGCTAGTGCGGAGGATGCAGAGGCAGCGAAAAAGTCCCAGATAGTAGATGTTCGGGCAAGAAACATCAGTCACAATGTGAGGTGCACGGAGTGTGGGAGTCAATCCATTGAAGATTCTCAAGCAGACATTGCCATTCTCCTCAGGAGGGTATATGCACTTTTTTTTTTTTTACTTTCTGAATGGATTTATGAAAAGGAAAGGTTAGTTATTTTGTATAAATTGACTGATATGAATGTTAAATTGTTAATCATGGTTGTCCCTTACTGCTAGCTAAAACATGATTTAGTTTACAATTTTTTGGGTTTCAGACTTCATGTTTGGAACTTTTAATGGTTTCTAAACTTGAAATATTTAGGAATAGGGAACCTGAAATTCCTGGACTGAGTCGAATTTGTTTTCATTTTATATCCAACATTTTATTGTTTTCACCATTTTCTTTGCAAATTCTTGACAATAGGAAATAAAATTAAAATTAGGTAATATTCTTATAATTATTAATAAAAACATCTCTATCTACCAAAATATATATATATATATATATATATATATCAATTTCAAATGAAAAAAAAAAAAACGAACTATAAATATTCAGATTGTTTTCTGTATGCAACTTTATAAAATAACATCTAACAGCCTAATTCCTTTTGTGATATAATGTCATCTAGTATGAGTTATCAAATATCATGCGTTATTTGGATATATTACGTACTAATTTTCTTTCCCTTGTCCTAACGCTTCGACCTTTGTGGAGTTATACAGTATACTTTCTAATTTACTGACTGATATAATTTATCTTCTTTCATTCTTATGTTGCTTTCTGTGACATTTGAATGGCTGTCAATTTTCTTTCCTACAACACCACGGGAGGGAGGAATAAAAGAAAAATCCCCCCTTCCCCCTCTTCCCATCCCTTAATGCCTATTAGTGGTTTTAGTTGGATACATGGTTTGTAAAGCTTCATTGGCTTATCAAAGCTTTTTGTCTTTTGTTCCCTTTGTTGTTATTGACCTGAACTTCTGTCTTAGGGAAGCTAGGAAAGATTAAACAGAATAAGATACGTTTGCCGGGAAATTCCAGATGTGTGAAATAACTGATTTTCTTATATTTGTAAAGCATATTTTTTAAGATTTTGAAGTTGCTTGCCCATTTTTCATGCCTGCTTTCCATCCATTTCTGCTCAGAATTTCTCTTAAAAAATAATATTAATAATAACAACCAAGCCTACTAGCAGTCGTGGGAAGTTAGCCTTTGTGCTATTATGTAAATCCTAAATACTCGGTACTATTTTGCAGTTAATTCGTGATGAAATTCGGGCTGGAAAGTCTGACAAGGAGATCTACAAAAAGCTTGAGAATGATTTTGGAGAGACTGTACTTTATACACCTAAGTTTGATATGCAGACAGCAGCTTTGTGGTTATCACCGGTAAATGTTTTCTGGAGGATTGAAAGCACTTGTATTCGTAATTTATTTATTTTTGGTGTAGTTTAAATTTGAGTGTGAGCCTTAGAGTAATGGTAAGGTTGCTCCTTGTGATCGGAAGGTTACGGATTTGAGTTTGAAAAACAGTTTTTCTGCAAAAGTGTAAAGATAAGACTGCGTACAATCGACCGTAATCTCTACCCTCGCAAGTTACAGAGCCTTATGCACTGAGATTTGCCCTTTTAGTGTAGTTTAAACTTGTGCTGATTCTATATATTTGTGCTTTCAAATAGCTCTTAGTTGCAGGCGCAACTGCTGGAGTATGGGTTTACAAGAAGCATAAGCAAAAGACTAATGTTCATGTCATGGCTTTGAACCTTGTTAGAGGTGTTCCATTGACCCCAGGAGAGAAGGAAACTATGCTTGGTATTCTTACACCACCTCCTTCACAGGGAGCTAGTACTTCTTTCTGGCAGAGATGGCGAGGTCAATGATCCCAGTTACTATGTCCTTTCATGGCTCTTGTGGGCGACTCAGTCGTGGCTTCGATGAACAGCAAATGTAGTCAACTTGAAGAGAACCTTTGACATGTAGTACATGTTTGTAACTACAAGCTAGGTTTCACTTTGATCTTAATCCACAAATTCCCAAGCCTAGTATTTTAATTTAATTTGTCGATGCCCAAGTTGGTTACAGATACACATGCTAAGAATGAGTTGACTTTCTAATAATACAGATTTCATTGCTTAATTTCCGTGCCAATCCTTAAATTCTGCTGTATTTCAAAATCCATGACATCCAGGATTTCTGGCATTATGATATTTTTCAAGAATTAATATACGATGTATTTGACACTATTTCGCATTTTTTTTATGATCATACTAAGCTAACAAATTTACGTCATTTATTTTTCCACACGATTTCTTCAGAATATGGTTTGACATGGAACGTGATATCTCGATATCAACGAACAACTAGCTCCTATAACTTGCTTTCCCACGTGATTGTATGTTCATAGTACTCTCCACGTTTGCACTTTTATTAGGTCTCCCCTATTACGTGGTAAACAATTCAAAATCGAGTTTTTACATGCAAATGGAAAGCGGGTGTCAGAAAAATAAACATGAAACGTAAAATTTCTATTACTTAATTAAAATATAAAATTGTATATACATGCATGTAAAAAAAATACATAAGTTATTATTCAAAAATTAATAAATAAATTTATATTTAAAAGATATAAGTCACGTAACTATATAAGACGTAAGTTCAAAAACACATAAAGAGAAAATTGAATTTAAAAAAAATGGAAAATAAGGTTTTTAAAAAAAATTGAGTTTAAAAAAAATATAAAAACTTGTGTTTCTACCGTTTTTACGTTTCTATACGGTGTTTTTATCCATTTTTACTTACGTCTTAATACATTTTTACATTGCATTTCTACTATTTTTACATTTCTAAGTTTTTAAACTAATTTTTCACAACAATAATGGTAAATATGCTTTAAAATCATATTAGAGGCCCAACATATAAAAATAAGTACTAACTAAAGACGTGGTTCTTTCTTCTGCAATTTTAATTGTAGAATTGTTTAAAAGGAAAAATAGTTTGTCATTTTAAATGACACAACTTATATCCTTTCACTCTCACAAAGAGGTGAGACTCACACCTTTATTTTTTCTGTCCACACTCTCTCCTCTTTATCTATCTCTTTCTCTCACTTAAAATCACACAATTTTATATCTTTTAAAATTATACACACTTTTCCCTTGCTTAAAAGATGTATGAACCGAAGCTTCTTGTCGTTAACCTGAGAATTTTATCGTTCTAATTAGTTTTTGTTTTTTGTCTGATGCTTGTAACTCAATTCTAATAAAATAATAAGTTTGCAAATTGCAATTTTTAAAGGAATTCCAAATGTAACCAGTCGACCACTACCTGACTAGCTCAATTTGTTATGAAGTTTTCCTCCTTACGTAATTTGACTTCCTGTCATAAAGAAAGAATCTGAACCTTCTGGTGCAGAAACAACTGCATCCTTCATTTTTAATAATTTACTCTTTGGAATATCTCTGTAAGCTTTAATTTTTTGAGTTTGTTATTGATTAATTCTTAGTTTGGACTTAATCATAGTTAAAGGCCCCCTGTGTATTTGATGGAAATCAAACAAGTTCTCTCCTTATTTATTATCCTGTATTACCAAATGAATTACACCCTTTATTATATTTTTATTTTGTTATAAAAGAAAAGGAAATAAAAAGCCATTACTAAAAGACGAATATCTGAAACGTCATATTTGTTATACAAAAGGACGATTTTGGTAACTATTTTCTTTCTTTGAGAGATTAATTTGATGCGGTGACAATTGATCTTTTAAAAGATTAATTTGACAACAAAAATATTTAGAGGATTAGTATAATGACACCCTAATTTTAAATGACCAAGTAAAGGATTTGCTTGAGAATCATGATCCTAGGCAAAATTAAGCTATTTTGAAAAATATTCCTTCTGTCCTATTCGTAAGAAGAAGAAGAAAAAATTCATTTCCAAGTGTATCTTGAACATGATAATTAAAATCGGAATTTTACCTAAAATTGAAAAGAAGAATAAAAAATTATAAAATGTAAAATCTTAACATAAAAAAATCGTAAAATTTCATAAAAATATAAAAACGTTTGGAATTTTGATGAAATTATTTTGATTAAAAAATCGTAAAATCATAAAAGCACAGATTAAAATCGAGATTTTAATTACCATAATCTTAAAAATAAGGGGTTGACATGACCACGTGTAAAGCACAGAGCAAAATGCACGAAAATGTTAAATATTTTTTTTTTTAAAAATGAGTTAGGATATTGATACTATCACTTTCTATTACTATTAATCTATTATTACTCTAATTATTGTTAGATCAAATCTTTCATCAATTTTTTTCTCTCCCCTCAACGGACTTTTTGCCTTAAAGTTTAATTCAACAATAATTAGAGTGATAGTAGATTGGTACTAGAATGAATATCTTACCTTATGATTTTTTTTTTTTTTGTTAAATCTAGTAAAACTTAATTTAAGATATGGAAAAATTGTTTGTCCTTTTAAACGACACAATTTGTGTTATTTTACTTTCACAAAAAAGTGAGATCAACATCTTTATTTTTTTATCCACTTTTTCTTCCCTATAATCTATTTCTCTCTCTCAATTAAAATGAAATATTTTCACATCCTTTATAACACATTTTTTCTTGAGATATTCGTATTTATTTTCTTATAAAGAAAAAATAAAGAAAAACCAGGACCGATTCTCATAAGTCAAAAAATCTCTCCGATGTGGACTCACTATTATTTTAATCAGCCTTGCAACTTGCAAGCTCATTTACGATTACACTCATCCTTATAAATAATAATAATTTAGTATATGTCCCGTGTTTCATGCTCATCCTTATGAATATATTTGAAAGTTGAAAGTGACATGACATTCATACAAATCTGCTTATAAGTTGTAACACACATCTAATCACAATATTAGTCCTCCAAAATCTTCCTAGTATTTGAATTGAAAGAGTTATATACTTATATATAAGTGAAAAGTGTATCTCATTTTAAAGAATGTATAATTGTGTTATTTTAAGTGAGAGAAAGAGATACATAAAAACAGAGAGTCGACAAAAAAAGTAAAGATATAAGTCCCACTTTTTTATAAAAATAGTTATTTAAAACAACGAATATTTTTTCCTATAAATATAAAAGAGGAGAAAGCAAAGGTAACCAAACCAACCGTCCCAAGCGCCCACATTGACCGAAGAAAAGAGACAAACTGCAAAAGGCCAATAAAAGTGCATAAACGCAGTCACACAGAGTCGTATCTAACTCTTCCGCTCAATTAATATCACATTGTTTGTTTGTTGCCACCTAAATGAGTAGCTCATTAAAGCCTTTCACCAAACACCTTAATTTCATCTCTTTCCACAAACACCCTGCTTTCTATGGTTTCATAGCTTCACCTTCATTCACTCGTTTGCCAAGTCCTACTACTTATCCTAGGTTGTGTTTCTCTCACTTTCGGCCATACTCATGTGAGTTTCTCTTCTTCCCTCATTTTCTTTTTGTTGCTGACAATGAAAGTATGGTTTTGTTGATTGAACGTAAATTTATTTTTTTTATTTTTTTTGGGTTTTGTCATAGGGTCAGTGATTTTTATTTCAATTGGGTTATTGACTTATTGGGGTGATGAAAAATTCTATCTTGAGGTTGATTTTGATAGAATATATTATTGGGGTGTCTCACTACCGCATGCACAAGTAATGGGTATTGATTTCTCTTACTGAGAGATGAAAAATTGTATCTTTATGTTGAGTTTGATTGGAATGTATTATGGGGGTGAAGTAATTTTACCTGAAACTGTTCTTTGTGCAACTCTGTTTCTCTGTAGCTATCAGCTGACATCACCCATTAGCACAATTTGGAATTTTTTCTTTTTTTTTTTTGTCTTTTTTTGTTTTTTAATAATTAAGGATAGAGATTAGACAAACAGTGTGTTTGATTATATAGCTCCGAATTGCTGATCAAGTTGTAATCTTGCTATCATGCAAACCTGAGTTTTCTGGATTAATTATTTGTACCTGTAATAATTTCTTTCTAAATGCTGTATTTGTCTCAATCATCATAACTTAATAAAATACACAGTTTGTAAGAGATGAACTCTAATATTATGAGGTTTACATTAAGTTGTTATGATGATCCTGTGATAATGATATTGTTGTGTAGGAAAGTTTAGAAGGGTGATCTTGGTACTGAGAAATATTAGTTTATTGAGCAATTACTTAAGAAAAATACCAAATAGATATTGTGGTGGTTCAGTTTACAGAATGTAGACATTGTTTAAAATCTAATAATTCCATTTATGAGGTTGATTGACTGTTTCTTCCTTTTATACAGCATCTCGATCTGCTACATTTATGGAGGTGTTCAAAGCAATTGCTCAGCAAGAACTTGCAGCTCATCATGGCAGTACTGCTATCAGAGCTGATCAGAAGAGTTACAGTTACAAGCAACTCATCTCATCTGCACAGAAGATATCTCATCTCTTGTGTGGCAATGGTGTCAAAACAGTGAGTTACACCGTAATACATACTATTGTTGTTGCTAGATGAAATAGTTTTGGCGCTCATGCTTGCATGAAATGGGAGTGACGTACTACATTCACATATATGTACAAAATAATCATTTAGTAAATTCTTGATGGTACTAAAATCCAGGGAAATCTTGGTGGAGCTCGAATAGGAATTGTAGCCAAACCCTCTGCTGAATTTGTTGCTGGAATACTTGGGACTTGGTTTAGTGGAGGTGTTGCTGTTCCACTTGCACTAAGCTATCCAGAAGTAGAGCTCTTGCATGTGATTAATAATTCGGTATGCTCTGGAAACCCTCCCTTTTTATTATGGCTCCCCTTTTCTTTTGTTTGTGTAACATTTAAATGGCTTGCTAACTTTATGAAGTCAACTCCCTCAATTCACCATTCACATTGTCTTGATATCTTTCATCTCAACTTTCAAATAGCTGATTTATATGTAGATTTTTGCCTCTATGAAAGTACATGACTGAAATATGCTATGTAAGTAAACTTTTAATATTATTGATTTCATTTTACTGGATGTTCAGTTCAGACATGAATAAACTATTGAATGATGGATTCTTCTGTTCACCTGTCCCAAACAAAATAATCCAAATTGCTTTTGGAATAGCTTTTACATGCTTCTGTTGTCATTATTATGTCCTGCTTCTGCAAGTATGTCCATTCTCAACTGACGAAATTCTTATAATATGGGTTGGAAGATGCCAATAACTTTCTACAATATAGATTGAGTATCATGTACCTAAGGAAGAAAGAATTTTTTATATATTGCTAACAAATTAGTTGAACCATTTATTTATTCTACATTACCTTTGGGCTTTGCTTCTGCTTTTGTGGATTAAATCTTAATAGAAATTTGATGATAATTTGGCTATAGGATGTGTCTGCAATACTAAGTACTGAAGACCATAGTGAATTAATGCAAAGCATTGCCAATAAAAGCTCTTCTCAGTTTTTTCATCTTCCGCCTGTTCTCAATGAGTCTTCAGAGAATGGGGAAATTGACCCAGACAGATTTTGCCTGGAGAATATTGGGAAATCAAGTAAGAAAATGAACGTTTCAACTTTTAAAATGGATAGAGTAAATCTTTTGGTAGCAATCAGCTGACAATTGTTTCTCATCATTTATTTTTCATATCCATTGGCATAGATGAAGATCCAGCACTGATTTTGTACACTAGTGGGACAACAGGTAAACCTAAGGGAGTTGTTCATACACACAGAAGCATCATTTCCCAGGTATGCTCTGTGATTTATGTCTAGTTACATCAAATGATACTTTGAATAGACATTTTCATCTACTAAGATAAAATCCTCTTCCTTAACAGTAGCTCTATGATTTTGCAAGTTCTTTCGGTGTGATTATCAAATTGTACAAAATACTGCTGTTTATAACAATTTTAATCATAGTGCAATTTAACCCTTGTTGACTTAAGCATGTCAATCATTCTTATTTTCTTTTTCTTTAATATTCTTTCCCAATCTTGTCTTGATTTTAGGTTCAAACCTTGACAAAAGCATGGGAGTATGCATCTGCCGATCAGTTTCTGCATTGTCTACCGCTACATCATATCCATGAAAGTTTCAGTGTTTACATTATTCAATATTTTATAATTCATATTACCATCTTTTGTATATTTGCTGAAATGTGATTTGGGGTTTCCTTATGATGTCAATCCTTAACATATATGATATACATGTTCACGGGCTTTTCAATGGTTTACTGGCCCCTCTCTATGCAGGTTCCACGGTAATTTACTCTTTTCACTTTTTCTTCCAAGGCAAAGACAATACTAGAAGAAAAAAAAAAGTTAAATTTTTGTTCCAGCGGCCTCTAAATAAGTAGTATGCATTCAAAATAGATAGTTTTTTGTTGCTAAGAATCAAATTGTCTTGTTGAAGGTTGAGTTCATGCCAAAATTTAGTGTGAGGGGAATTTGGCAGAGATGGCGGGAGTCATATCCAACTGAAGGATCTAAGGCTGATGATGCAATAACTATGTTCACTGGAGTAAGTATAATTCTTATCAGCATTGTGCAGATCTATGATATGGTTCATTCTCATGGTACCTTGGTTTGTGTATATAATCTAAGCTTGGCTGGAGATAATTATCTTTGCTGCTTTAATCATACAAAGACAGCATTTATAGGCCATATGATGGTGTTCTTTGTTATGCCTAAAAAGTTCTTAAGTTGCACGGTTTGTGCATTTAAAATTCATATGCATACTATTTACTATCAACATTAGTTGTTGTGGTTGGAGAACTTGTCTTGGGTGACCTCATCATTATTAAATCGTTTTGTAAATGAAGGTTCCAACTATATACACCCGATTGATACAAGGTTATCATGCTATGGATCCTGAGCTACAAGTTGCTTCAGCATCTGCTGCAAGGAATCTGCGTCTTATGGTAAGAGAAAAAGGCACTGTGCTGTTCATCAAACATTTTTATCTCTTAAAAGAAGATAAACAGAAAATTGTTTGAATTTTAAAATAAAGGATTATTCTTTATTTTTAATTTGCTATGCATGGACACACTACAATTTACATTATGTGTTCTGCATTGGTTCTGAGCACTGATTACTAACTCAATCTCAGAAACCTGATATTTTATCATCTCACCATTCAGATGTGTGGGTCCTCTGCACTTCCTCAGCCCGTTATGCAAGAGTGGGAAGCCATCACTGGGCATCGCTTATTAGAGCGATATGGCATGACTGAAGTATGTACACTTTAGTTTAAGTCCTTCAACTTTGCAGAGAAAGATGTACAGTGTATTTTACTACTGTTCATTAATTTTATAGCAATTCTTGGATGAATCTTACGATATAATATTAATGTTTCTAGTTTGTCATGGCATTGTCAAATCCATTGAAAGGTGAGCGTAAGGCAGGCACTGTTGGCAAACCATTTCCTGGTATACAGGTTAGTTGAGCTTGCACTTTTCCATTTGCTGTTGACCATAAAATATGGTCTTGTTGATCTCTCATTCCGCTGTTGCGCGTAATATATTTACATGATCAACTATTGGGGATTTAAGTAATTATCTGGGCACGAGTTTCAATTTCAGGTTAAGGAAACCAAATAATGTGTTATAAACTTGAAGGATACATGTAAAAGAAGTAGACTTTGGCATACTATGAGATGGATGTTTTACTATGACCTGCAGGGAGGAGTAGCCTCAAGTGTTGTTGATGCTCAATGTGAGAGATAATATCCCATGGAATTGCAAGGTTGACTTTTCTGTATGCATGACAGGTCAAGATTCTCGCGGATGAGGAGAGTGGGAGTGATAAAACTGGAGTGGGTGAGCTTTGTGTTAAAAGCCCTTCGTTGTTTAAAGAATATTATAAACTTCCTGAGGTACTTAATGTTATGTTCTTTTGTTTATGATTCTGAAATAATTATTTAGTAATAGTTCTTTCCTGTTCTTTTGATTCTTATGCTTCTAGTAGTTCCTTGTTGATTTATAATGCATTACATGATTATGTGCATCATGATATAATACCCTATTTCCCTGCTATGCTGCATAAGACTGCACATTTTCTTTCTGAGAAGCGGTTATTTGAGCAACAGAAGTTCCAATATCACAATAAAAGGAATATAACGTTAATTTATGTCGCAGAAAATTCAAGATTCCAAAGGTAGATAATGTGATAGGACACCAGAAGAAAACAGGGTCAAAGTTAGTTAGACGGGGCGATGTCTGATCAGTTAGTTTCAGTTAGAATCTATCAAGGGGATAGGAGTTAGGAACAGGGGTTCGGGCTTAAATAGCAGGAGCAAGGTAAGAGGAGGGAAGCATTCAGGATTTTAGATTGAAAAGCAGAGCAAAGGCTCTATGGTAAAAGGAGAAACCCTATCAACATCAACAGCACCTTTATTCCAAACTAGTTGGGGTCGGTGGTAGATCGTAGATGAACCCAAAAGAGAGATACAAAAAGATTGAGAAAAAAAGACAAAAATAAAATTTAAGTATATATATGTGTGTGTGTGGGGGGGGCAGGATTTTCTGACATCGATGTAAGAATAATAAATTTTACACTTAATCTTAATCGATTTTTGATATCTGACGGTTATAATTTATTGGGAATTAATAGTTAATTAATAAGAATAATCCAATTAATTAGTCTTTTGATGAATGGAAATCAAAGGTGAAGATTGAGTGTAAGATTTATTATTCTTACATTGTTGTAAATTGATCCTGTCTATATATATATGAGGTAGGATCCTTTGACACCTCATCTGATAGTCGTTAGATCAAAAAAGATCAATGGTGTCACATGCTTGCAAATCAGAGTTGTTGATTTTTTTTTATCTAACGGCTCTCAGATGAGGTGTCAAATTTGAAATTTGACACTGGTGTCAAAGGATCATATATATATATATATATATATATATATATATATATATATATATAAGCAATACACAATTAAAGGGAAAAATGAAGATATATAGTAGGACATAAAATAATAAGTAAGAAATAAAAAAAATAAAAAAATAAAATAAAAAGGAATTTGGGGTAAAAAGAAAAAGAAAACACATAAATAAATGGGTAAGAGAAAAAAGATTGAAAGGAAAAATGAAATAAAAGAAAAGAAGGAAAAAAAGAAAGAAAGGGAGGGAGATAAAGAGGAAAAGGACTAAAAGGGGACCATTTGAAACATTGGAATAAAAACGGGTCTAATCCTCCACTATGCTTATAGCTTTTCTTCTCCACTCTGTCCTAAGATACATCGTCCGCTAATGTATATCCCACTCCATTAAGTCTTGTTTTTACTACTTTTCCTCAAGTAAATTTTGGTCTACCTCTACCTCTCTTTGTGTCAAGCTCTTGATAACAAACTTTTGTTCTTATGGGAGCATCCTGGGGCTTTCTCATTACGTGCTTAAACTACCTCAATCTATGTTCTCTCATCTTTTCCGCCACCGGTACTACTTTCACTTTTCGTCGAATAACTTCATTTCTTCTCTTATCCATCCTCATATAACCACACATCCATCTTAACATCCTTATTTCCGCTATTCCCATTTAATGTTCATGTTGCCTATGTGCTGGCCAACATTTAACTCCACATAACATTGCAGGCCTTGCTGCTGTCCTATAGAATTTTCCTTTTAGCCTAAGGGGAATTATGTGGTCACACAAAAACCCAGATGTACTACGCCATTTCATCCACCCTGCTCTGATTCTATGATTTACATCCTCATCAATCTCTTCACCTTTTTGCAAAATTGATCTCAGATATCTGAAAGCATCTCTGGATGGAGAAACCCTATGTGAAGGGAAAATCCTTGGAAGGAGAATTCTCTACATAGTTCTTTGTTTGTAATTCAATAAACACTACCGACGCGTTCTTCTTTTCCTTTCCTTTCCTTTCTCTGTTTTTCTTATCTCTCCCTCTCTGAAAACTCATAACCCATTCTTGGTTCCTAACACAAAGGTAAAAGAAATATAATCTCTCCCTCTGAGAATTTTATTATTTCCATGCAGGTAACGAAGGGATCATTTACTGATGATGGGTTCTTTAAGACTGGAGATACAGTTACTACAGATGAAGATGGATATTACATCATTCTAGGACGTAAGGAAATCTATACTTCTCCATGCATGCTGTCATATGCTTGCTTGTAAGAGTCAGAGCTTTGAGTGCAGCCTGCAGTATGGTTCTCATGCATTAACTACATATATCTAGTAGTACCCCAATTTTAAATTTCTAGAACATTATCTTTGAGCTGGGCCTTTCTATTTTCCCAAAATGAATCATCAAACGAAAGAGAGAGAAATCATGCTTAAAGTGTTACATGCAGTTTGTCAGAAAGTACATTCCTAAATTGCTAATAACTAGGACATCTGGTTTTGCCGAAATTTTTTGCCAATCTTGACTGGTATAAAATTTGGATATGTATCAGAAGATAACTGTTTTATCTTGATTGGCTAAGTGAAAATGTAAAAATCCCTACATCTGAACTTATCATCAGAGAAGTAAAAGTTAGATCGTGGTGTTAATAAAACTAAATATATTGTGCTTGTTCTCCACTTGTTTATCAGGTACTAATGCTGATATTATCAAGGCTGGTGGCTATAAGCTGTCTGCATTAGAAATTGAATCAGTTATAATAGAGGCAAGTAGCTACCGTTTTCTCATCCTAACGTTGTTAGTTGTTAGTTGTTAGCAATACTTTATATAGTTGCATGGTTTCTTTCCACGGAAGGAGCTGAATACAAGGAATGATATGGTATTCACAATCAGAAGCTTTTTGCAGCATCCAGCTGTCTCAGAATGTTGTGTTTTGGGCTTACCAGACAAAGACTATGGAGAAGTTGTTGGTGCAATTATTGTACCAGAGGTTGATGTTAAACGAAAGCGAGATGAAGAGTCAAAGCCTGCATTAAGCCTAGAAGAATTGTCCACCTGGGCCAAAGACAAACTTGCACCTTACAAGGTAATGGGGGCATGGCCATTGTTTGCTTATATATTGTCATCTATGGAGATGAACCTCATATTCTTAGAATCATATATAAGCTGCCACTGAAAATGCTTGTGATACTAGGTTCATCAATACTTTCTGTTCCTTTCTGAAAATTTCAATGCATATGATTTAGGTGATTTCTTTCTTTTATTTTAATAATTTAATCAATTGCATATATCTTGTTTATATTATGTTATTTTCATTTGATAATTTGTTTGTATGTTGTTAGATACCAACTCAACTATTCCTGTGGGACTCACTCCCTCGCAATGCAATGGGGAAGGTAATTTACTTTTGTTTATAGGGGAAGGATCCGTTTACAAACTTTTTTTTACAAATTACATTAAGTATGACCGGTCATACACTCTTGATTAAAGTATGACCGGTTAGACATAGCGTAGTTTGTAAAGAAAAAGTTTGTAAATATAACTTTTCCCTTGTTTATATGTCGTCCTAATAAACAACATCATTTACTTTTTCACCATGAATCATTCTTAGGAAGGTAAGTTAATTCTTCTTCGTGTGAAATTTCAGGTAAATAAAAAGGAGCTGAAGAAGCTGCTGGCTTCAGAAAAGTAAATTTTCTGAAACCAGTTTTAAGATGTGGCAATCTCAGCCGTTCATTTTTATTATTTATTTATTTATTGGTTTAAGTTCTATGTGTAATCCGGGGGAATATGATCAATACGAGCTATCTTAATTTCAATAAGGTCGAGTACGATCTTATTTGCATCATACTTGCTTGATCATTAGCAACTAATGTTCTTTCATTAGTTGATTAATTACTGTAACGCTATTGTGCAAAATCTTCCGTAGAAGTACATAGGCCAATAGCTTAAGCAAACTAGAGGGTCTGTTGTTAGTATTCTATTTGATTGATTGTACTTGCTGTTTACAATGTGATTAATTTGGTACTATCTTTGTAGAATTTATAATGTGTACTGTTATAACCCAAAGAAATTTTAAATGTAAACTTTTGCATCAATACTGTATTTAAAAAAAAAAGAAAAAGAAAAAGAGTGGATAGCTGTTTTCATCATGCAAAGATATATGCAAGATCATTAGTTTTTTATTTGCCAAATTGTTTGTTCAAACAAATACTTGACGTCAACATGAAGTACTTGTTGGGGTATGAACATAGTAAGGTGTAATATCTGCTACTTGCTATGGGTTAGTAAAATGTTCAAAATCAAACACTTCACATATACACAACTAGTTGTATGATGGCACCAGTTGTAGGATGTCCATTAACGAAACATCTCAAGTCTCCAAAGTCCTATTCACCACTTCCGTTTGTCCATCCGTCATTGGATGATATGCAGAGCTAAATTTCAGCTTTGTGCTTGCGGCTTTAAATAACTCTCCCCAAAATTTGCTCACAAATACCTTATCTCTATCTAAAACAATTGACCTTGGAAATCCATGCATTCTGATAATCTCTTTTACAAACATAGCAGCTACCTGTTCAGTTGAATATGGATGCACTAGAGTAATAAAATGGGCATATTTGGAGAGTCTGTTTACTACCACCAGAATTGTGTCCATACCTTTAGATTTTGGTAACCCTCCTATGAACTCCATAGAAAGATCCTCCCACACTTGTTCTGGAATCGGTAGAGGTTGTAACAGCCCCGCTGGTTGTAGGCTTTGATATTTTTGTTGTTGGCACACTCCACATGCTTTAACATAATTTGTCACGTCCTTTCGCATCCCTTCCACCAGAACACTGCTGCAATTCTCTTGTAAGTCCGCAGCTCACCCGAATGTTCACCCCACTGGGAATCATGAAACTCTTGTAAGATGAAATGTATCCGTGAAGAGGAGAATGGAATTACCAGCTTATCATGAAACCAAAGGCAGCCTCTGGATGCATGATACCCCGGATGAGACGTAGCATCCTGCATGACATCAATTAAAATAGATTTAGTGACAGGGTCAGCACTCACATCTTCTGCCAAGCTCTGTAAATCTGGGCTTGATACAATGGACAATCCCTTGCAATCCATTACTCTTGATAGCGCATCAGCCGCTTTATTTTTCACACCGGGTTTATATTGTATCTCAAAATCGAAACCCACCAACTTGGTTACCCAACGATGCTGGCCCTCCACGATTAAACGTTGTTTCGTTAAGTATTTTAAGCTTCTTTGATCAGTCCTGATAATGAAATGGCGCCCCAACAAATAATGTCGCCATTTTTGAACCGCAAATACGATTGCTTTTAATTCTCGTTCATAGGTTGACAAGGACTTGGCTGCATCCGAGAATGCTTGACTTAAAAACGTTATTGGCCATTTCCTTTGCATAAGGGCAGCCCCCATTCCAACTCCTGACACATCGGTCTCTTCCACGAAAACTTAAGAAAAATTCGACATTGCCAACTCTGGCAGCAACATTGCCCTTTTTAACTCTTCAAAAGCGATTTGGGCTTAATCCCCCCCAATTAAAGCTGTCTTTTTTTAACAGTTGAGTGAGTGGACGAGCAATCTTGCTATAACCCCTCACAAACCGTCTATAGTACCCAGTGAGTCCCAAAAATTCCAGAGCCCCTTCAGATTCGTGGGAATTGGCCATATCTGTATGGCTTCCACCTTCACTGGGTCTACCTTCACCCCTGTTCCTGAAATAATATGTCTAAGATACTCTAATTCCCTTTCTGCAAAGGAGCACTTTTTTTTATTGGCACAGAATTGATGCTTTCGTAATACCTTCATTACTTGCCTCAAATGATCAACATGAGCAACCTCATTTTGGCTATAAATCAGAATATCATAAAAAAAAACCAAAACAAACCTACGAAGGAACGGTCGGAATACCTCATTCATCAAGGACTGAAAAGTGGAAGGTGCCTCAACCCAAAAGGCATTACCAAGTACTCATAGTGCCCCTCATGAGTCTGGAATGCTGTCTTTTCTATATCCTCTGGTTTCATCCTGATCTGATGATAACCAGATTTCAAGTCTAGCTTAGAAAATAATTTTGCCCTATCTAATTCGTCCAGTAACTCATCAATGACGGGCAATGGAAATTTATCTGGTATGGTTGCTTTTTTGAGTGCCCTGAAGTTCACACAAAACCTCCAACTCCCATCTTTTTTTTTCACTAAGATTAATTGTATACTTCACCAACACTCTCAGTATCCACAGTAGCCACAGAATGTAGAACAGAAGCGTCAACCTCATCTCTTTTCTCGTTATCACCTGAAGCCTCAGGTTGAACGGAAGAAACAATATCTACACTTTCATCTGCTTGCACCCTTTCTTCTTCTTTATTCTCTTCATCTATCTTGACATGAAACTTTTCTTGCACATCACTAATACCTTTTGACTCACCAAGATCAATAGTACTACCCTCTACTTGATCCTCCTCAAGATTAATAGCCTTGGGTTGCATTAACATTGGACTCTCATGGTTTCCCACTTCAGCAATGTCATTCTCTTGATTACTGATAACAGAATCCAAATTCTCAGCATTATGAATATTAGATTCAGACAATTCAACAGGCATCCAAGGTAAATGGTTTTCTGCCTTTCAATGGTCCAAATTATGTGCAGTTGTTCCATCTGCGTCCTCTGTTTATGCTTTCCCTAATAACCTAACACATTAAGACTTTAAATGTGTTGGCCCGTTTTACCATCTAATTGTTACAGTGTTTTTTTTTTTTTTTTGGTAAAAGTGGTGGGCCTAACCCATAGAATTAAATTGAAAGCTGATGCATGTTAAGAGAAACATGCTCCATCAGCAAGAACTTACAAAAGTCACTCCAAAATGGAAAAATACTTGTAGGAGGAGAGGAATATAACTCCAACTCTCCACTCCTACACTTAAATCCTACCAAAGCTAAACTATCAGCACAATAGTTAAACTTTCTGGGAACAAATTCGAAAGAAACATGCTCAAATGACAGTAAGTTATTCCTAATTTTCCTAGCTACCAATGAGCAGTCATCCAAATCATTTAGGTTAGCCACACATAGTAAGGCTTCTTTACTTTCACTCCCAAGCCATACTTTCTTAATCTTTAAATCACTTGCCAGCTTTAGACCTTGCCAAATGCCCCACAACTCAGCTTCAAAGATTGAACAAGTACCAATCTTAAGTGAGAATCCACTGATCCAGTCACCTTTCCAATTGCAGATCAAGCCCCCACATGCTCCTGTTTTAGTCTCCAAGTTCACAGCACCATCTACAAAAAATTTTAAAACCTCCTTCTGCTCCTGAAAGCCAGCCCCGACAGAGGTATAGATGGGTCTACTTTCTGAGAAAAAGGATCATCAGAGCAGTTACTTTTCATGTCTCTTAGATACAGCAAGATCCTACTCATCGGATCACTAGGCCAATCAAATAAATCCTCATGAACAACTAGATTTCTCCATTGCCAAAGCATCCAACAGGTTACAAAAAATGCTTCCTTCCATGAATGCCAGCACTTCGTTGAAAAAGATTTACAAATATTTAATCTGAACCAGTCAAGATCATTAACTGACAGAAAAACATCAGGAATCTTACCTCCAAACCATCTCTCCCACACCTTCCTAGCTTTCAAGCAGTCTCTCAGCACATGCATTAAAGTCTCATGAGATGTTGAGCAGTTCGGGCAAAGAATCTCACCTCCATTCCACAAGCTAGTGATATTTCTAACTGTCAATTTGTTAAGACATGCTAACCACATAAATGTTGCAATCCTAAAGGGCCCTCTCCATTTCCAGATTAGAGACCAGGCTTTATCTTTCTTCAAGTTTGCAGCCATTAATTGCTGGTATGCATTTCTAACCATAGAACAACTTGGACTGCTTCTTAACCAACAGATCCTGTCCTCTGGTCCATTTGTGCAAGGGATCTGTATGCTTTGCATCCTCCTAAGAATAGGATCTTCAAGATAATTCTTCAGATATTCCCACTTCCAATCACCTGTTACTTGATCAACAATATTAATCACCTTCAAATCCTGCTCAGCAGTGCAAGGTTTATTAAAGGCCAGCTCATAAAGATTATCTTGCCATCAATGCCAACAATCTGTCCAAAATAAAACTGAATTACCATTCCCCATCTCCCAAGTCAGATGCTGGTCAAGTTTGTCACGAGCTGCACAAATACTCTTCCATAAGGATGAGTCTCCATTTTTTACAGATAATCCTCTCCTAGGATCATGCTTTCTCCCATATTTCCCAAGGAGAACTCTACTCCAGAGGCTGTTAAGCTCAGAAATAAGCATACAGGCTCTCTTTTGCATGAAAGCTTCATTCTGCACTCGAAGATTAATAATCCCTAAGCCACCACACTCCTTTGGCTTATAAAGTTGCTCCCATGCCACATAGTGTGCTTTCCTTTTTACATCAGAGTCTCCCCAGATAAAATTTCGTTGGAGTTTTTCAATTTCTTGGCATATGTGAATTGGTATAGAGTTGTTTTGCATGTGATACATTGGCATAGCTGATATCACACTCTTAGCCAATGTGATTCTACCAGCCATAGACAAGCATTTGGTCTTCCACCCTTGGAGCTGATTCTGAACTCTACTAATGACATTAGAATAATGATGCCTACTAATCTTCCCATGTCTCATCAAGGTTCCTAGATAACAGCCAATGCCGTTGACAACTTTGAACCCACTTACATCAGCCAAAAGACTCAGTGTCTCCTGAGGTGTGTTCTTAGAGAAATAGATACAGGACTTCTCCATACTCACACATTGGCCTGACATTCGAGAGAATTTCTCCAAACAGCCTGTAATACACTCCATCTAACTAAGGGAAGCTTCAGCAAATAGGATGATATCATCAGCAAACATTAGATGGGATATCTGAGGCCCTGCCCTACCAGCTCTAATTGGATACCATTTCTTCCTGTCTACTTCATCCATAATAAGATGAGTCAACTTCTCCATGCAAAGGACAAATAAGTAAGGAGACAATGGGTCCCCTTGCCTTAGTCCCCTTTGAGAGTAAAATCCCTGAGTCCTGCTCCCATTCCATAACACCTCAAAGAAGGGACTTGTAACACAACCCATAACAGCAGCTATCAACTCATCTGGAAGCTTCAACTCTTCAAGCACAGCCTTAACAAAACTCCAATTGAGCTTATCATAAGCCTTCTCTAGATCAATCTTGATAGAGAAGTAACTTTTTTTCCTTGCATCCTATGCATAGAGTGAATAAGTTCCTGGACAATAATTATATTGTCCTGAATATTCCTCTTGGGGATGAAGCTTACCTGATTAGGAGAGACAAGATCACCTATAAAAGGCTTAATCTTATTAACCAGAATTTTACTCAATCCCTTATACACAGTATTGCAAAGTGCAATGGGACGAAACTGCTTCATGAAACAAGGCCTATGCACTTTGGGGATTAGAGTAAGAAGAGTCTGATTAATCTCCTTAATCTGTTCAGGCTTGCTGAGGTACAACTTCATGCTATTGAAGACTTTTTCCTTAATCAGGTCCCAGTTCTTATGATAGAACAATGCAGGGTAGCCATCTGGACCAGGAGTTTTCAATGGGGCCATTTGAAAGAAAGCTTTCTTAACATCCTCTAGAGTTATATCCAATGACAGTAAGCCTCTGTATTCCTCCCTGATAGCTGGCCATGAACAAACAGTTTGGCTCTACTCTGAATCAATCAAGTCTTCTGTGAATAGATTAATGAAAAAGCTTCTGGCTAATTCTATCAATTCCTCATCTCCAGAAATCCATCCACCACCATTATTCTGTAGCTTGATGATCTTGTTCCTCTTTCTCCTAATCAAGGTACAAGTGTGATAATACCTAGTATTTCTATCACCTCCTTTGATCCAATCCCCCCTAGATTTCTGGTACCAAATTTGTTCCTCTTGAGCTAATATATCAGCAAGTTCCTTATTTAGATTGGCTTCCAACTCCTCCAAATGGTAGCAATTTCTCAAGCTCATCTGTCTTTGAATGCCTTCCAGTCTAGCTATCACCCTGTTCTTTCTATAGTGTGTGAAGCCAAAGACATTCTTATTCCAGTTTCTGACTGCTGGAGTAAAAGTGATCAGACTGTCCAGTAGTTTGGAATTTGAATCCCAATTGGTTTTGAGGAAAGAGTGGAACCGAGAATCATTCTGCCATACAGCCATGAACATAAAAGGTCTATCCCTCCAACAATGATCCTCTTTATCCAATCTCACCAAGACAGGGCAATGATCAGAGAAAATTCTAGGAAGGTTTAAGACAACAGCTTCCTCAAAACAGGTTCTCCAAGCATCATTTGCAACTGCTCTATCAAGCCTTTTGAACACTCTATCCAAGTGTGGGAATTTGTGCCCTTTCCAAGTGAATCTATTTACTCCTCCTCCCAAATCTATAACCCCACATGCATTTAACACATTATTGAACATAAGACATCTATTAACATCAACTGGATTGCCTCCTTTCTTCTCAGAAACTGAAGTAATCTCATTAAAATCTCCTGACAACATCCAAGGACTATTCATGGTTCTACCAATATGCTTCAGTTCTTCCCACAACATTCTTCTCTTTTCTTCTTTAGGACTAGCATATACTGTAGTCCAGAAAAAGCCCTCCTTACTAGGAAATTCAACCCAACAATGGATGAATTGATCCTGCTTTCTCTCAAGTGTGATACTCACCTCAAACGGATCCCATACAATCCACACACCTCCTGCAAACCCATTGGCTTCAGAGATTATATAGTTAGAATACTCCAAACTTCGAATAATTCTCAAGGCTTTATCTCCACTAACTCTAGGCTCCAAAATGGCAGCAACTCCAACTCCATACTTCTTCCTGAACCTTCTGAAAGTGCTCTTAAATTGTTTCTTTCCAGCACCTCTACAGTTCCAGGTCATTATATTTATCATGAATGTTGAGCTTGGTGCAAGATAACAAAGCTCTTGCCACTTACATCAAGACTTACATCAGAAGCCTCCTGAATAATAACATCTCCCTCACCACCACATAGCTAAGCCATACCGACCATACAACTATCCTTAACTGCCCCATAATGCTGATCCAACTCCATACCAGAATGAGGTTCTGCATTTTTTAAGTTATCCTTCTTCACCAAGTCAGGTGGTTCAGGGTCCTTCAACTCACACTCCAGGAGCATACTGCCAACTTGTTGAATGTTCTCTACAGTTTCCAGAAGAGCCTCAGTAGCTGAAGAATCAGCTGCCATCACCAAATCCCCCCATAATTTGCCTTTGCATTGGTCCAGGTTCTCTTTGACTGGTATCAGAGACAATGAACTAGTCCCAGTATCCAAAGAAAGAGCAGGCAACTTCTGTACCCCTTTTCCTTTAGCTGATAAGGCCTTATTCGAATTTCTTTTAAGTATTTGAACCCCTTGCTTCACACCAAAATTTTTATTGAGATTGTTTTGGGCCTTAGCAGTGAAATTCATCACCCCCACAACATTCTGAGTATTATTGCCCAATGACAGATTCTCCTTATTCATCAAAGAAGTGAGAATATTCACTCCAGGATCTTTATCAATAACTTTCTTCTGAATGCTACTCCCACTACTCACACTAGTTTTCATCCCCATACCCTTCTTAGTATTGGAAATGTCCTCCCCAAATAATCTGGCATTCTTGGGATCACTCTTAAGTGGTACTTGACCTCCTTTCTTCCTTCTCTGCACCACCATCCACTCACCAACCCCCTGAGATTCAGGCTTTTCCACTGGTTGCACAGGATTCTCACTAGGCGTTTCCATTGGAGTGTGTTTAGCAGCTTCTGGACAGGACTCAAGATTGTGCCCGTATCTGCCACACTTCAAACAAATTAGATACAATCCTTCATATTCTATCCTTTTCCTACAGCCATCCAGAACATACATCCCTCTCAGAGGCTTGGCAAGATCAATCTCAATGCATACTCTTGCAAACTGATGCTCTCCGGAAAGTATACCGATCGCACAAGTAATATAATGAGTAAGTAGAGTATCGTCTCCACAGGGATTGTAAACCAAGTACTACAATAACCAGTCCCCTTAAGTTGGAAAACTCGATTTGTTGTTTGGAAAAATTGCGAATTGATTTTGAGTAACAATAAGAAATAAAAGTAAAGACTTGTTTTTGAATTTTTATTTAAGAGAAATAAAACAATAACAATGAGAATTGATTTTAAAAATATGAGAAAACATTGTAGCTAGAGCGCACTCACCTTATGATCATCACTTCTTACTTTGGATTGATTCACAATACTTATTTATAGAATTACTCGAATAATTTTTATTATCTAAGAATATTTATTAGTTAACCCTCAATTCCTTGCAAGGTTAACCCTTTAATGCCCAATTGGAACCCCAATTCCTTGCAATGTTCCTCATGGTATTAAGCAATGAACGCAATAATTTAAGCATCTGCAATTAAATACACATCTATTCCTAGCATGCATACCAATTGTTATCCTACCCCCTTTCAAGATCAAAACCCCAATATTCTTATCTAGGGTTCTAACCCTCAAACTATTCTCAACTATTAGATTGATCAGTTCTAATAAAGAAAATAGAAAATACGCACAAGGTAGAGACAAAGATAATTATATAAATGAGTAAAACTAAATCAATCCATCGTAACAAGGGTTCACATAGGGCTCCTGACATTAACTACAATAAAAGATAACTAGCCAAGCATAATCATGGCTAAAAATAATCCAATATTCAAAAGCATAAAATTAAGGAGAAAAGAGAAGATGAACTTGATCCCCAGGAATCCCCTCAGAGCTCTGTCGTCGTCTCTCTTCAGAAGAATAGGTCTCAATGCCTAATTCTGTCATAGGGATCCTATTTATAAACCTCTTTTCCTTCTTCCAAAAATACCCTTCGCGCAGCACGATACTTCTTTCCCGCAAACCGGCGCCGGTGTGGTGCCAGTTAGCGCCATCTTCCTGCCCAATGTATGCTGCATTTCGGCGCTGGTTGGCTTTAGTTTGGGCGCCTAGTGGCGCCACTTCTTCTTCATGTTGGGCGCCTAGTGGCGCCACTTTCTTGTGAATTTGCGCGCTATTGGCGCCATGGAATGGTGATGAATGTGGCGCCATTTTGGTGCCACTAAGCGCCACTCAAAATTCTCTGTTGCAAAGTTTGTGATCCGGCGCGGGTGTGCGCCATTTTGGCGCAAACTTGCGCCAAGTCTCTGGTCTTCTGTACTGTGCAACCTTTCCAATCCGGCGCTGGTCTGCGTCAACAGGCTTTTATAGTTTTCACTTCTTTTTCCTGTAAAAACACAACCAATAGGTGAGAAATATAATTGAAAAGAAAGAATCAATATAATTAGCAAATATGTAATTAAGTTGCTCTTTTATAACTCAATTCTTATCAATTTTAACACATAAAATCACACTTGCCAGAGGCACATCAAATCATTCCCAGATTTAAACGTTGCTGTCCCCAGCAATGTACAAGACTCAATCCAGGAAACAATTAATTCTTCCAATACAACATCATACAGACAATCAAGAGATCACTATGCTAAGCATGACTGAATCAATGCAAAGAACTCCTAACAATGTCTTATATTCTCATGAACATGTCAGAATCTAGCTTGAACACCCCTCACCAAGATAATCATATAACGCTCAGCACTCAAGTGTTTAAGGGAGTAACAATCACTCAATCCATCACAGCAATAACATTACCATAAGCTTGATCATATTCTCAAGTTCCTAAAGATGAGGAACATTAACACATGCATAATTGATCAAAAAGACTTCACAGGTTGTAACTTGGCTAGGCTTAAGGGTATGAATTTATGGTTAGTAGCTCAAACAACAATGAGATTGAAAAACTAGTATTATTTCACTTTAACATCATCCAACTCAATGGAGTTTCTCCACTCAGATTCCCACATAATTTCGGGAATTAATTCCTATCAACCACTTTTTCTTTACATTCATCCTTTCTCTTTTTCTTGCTTTTTCTTTTCTTTTCTCTTTTTTTTTTCTTTTTCTCCCTTTGTTTTAAGGGCACAGATGAAATTTTACCTCCCCTAATTACTTGACCTTTGTGGAGCTTACCTCAATTTCTTTGTTTAATTTTTCAACACATCTGTAATTCAATCTCAATTAAGGTAAGTCACATGGATATAGGCTAAACCATCAATAAGGAATTATGAACAAAAAGGCTCAGGCTCAAAAGGGGTTAGCAATGGAAAAATTCATACAGGTGGGTTATTTTTGGCCAATAGCTAACAAGAAAAAAAAATGTCTTTATCATATCAACCAATGCATGTATCTCAGAGAAATAGAGCAAGTTCTAGAATGCTATCACAATGAGGTCTCTCAGAATAAAATAAGTGTTTAAGCACAAAACCTCACCAGCTATGATGTCAAGCTAGACTTCCAAAAGAAACATCAGGCATCATTAATCATTCAAACACAAAATTCAGACAAACGAGCAATCATGAAGTCTACTCATGCCCATATAATATCATGCCAGAAGTTTATACAAAACATGTTTCCTAGGATGAATCAGGCAAGTTAACTAGGGAAAGCATATCTAAACCTGAGACTTGCTCAGAAAACATGTTCAAAAAAAAAAAAATTGTTATATATATATCACACAAAATAACTATAAAAATAACTAAGAAAATTAAAAAAGTTAGAGTATCTCCCCTGATAGAAGAATTGCAGTTCTCAGGTGCAAGCCTGCCTACCATTCCCAGATTTAGAGAATTAATGTCCTCAGCAATAATTAAACCACGAGAAAGAAGAAAAACCTGCACAATAGAACAAATAGTGGCATATATAAGAAACTATAATGCACACATTAAAACATCAGAGAAAAATATCCTAACACAAAGTAACTAAAGAAAAGAAATACGAAACAGAAAAATAAACTAATATACAAGTTCTCCATACGCAAGGAGATATACTCAACCCTCCATGTCATCCCCCTCAGCAGCGTGGGATGACTCGGCAAATGGAGGATCTTGTGGTATTGGATGCCTTGGTGTATGAGACCACCATTCCCAGATTTGTTCCAAACCATGAAGCCATGTTAAGAACTCTTTGAAGCTTTGGTTTTTCTGGGAGATAGAGTCTCGGTGTCTCTTGTCAAATTTCAGCTCCCGGTGTCTCTTCCAACTCGTATCAAAGAGTTTCACCACTTCCTTTCTCAGTACCTTCTTCCGTATAGGATGACGCTTCCCTTGGGATTTTCTCCCGTGTTTGTCATCATCTTCATTGAGAATTTTGATGGTATGGGAAAAAGGATCTTTATTTTTCAATTCAGTTTCCTCTTCCTTCAGTGCTTCAATCACCGCCTCCTTATTACCCAAGAAGACATTTTTTTTGAGGTTGAGGAAGCTCCTTCAAATCCACCTTTATGGCACCATCTTCCTTGGCATCATCTGTTACACTTTGTTTTTCCTTTAAGACTTCAAGACTAAAACAATCGTCTTTGTGAGAAGACTGTTTTAGAGAATCAAAGACGTTGATGGTAACGGTCTCATCATTCATCCTTAACTCAAGCTTTCCATTTTCAACATCAATCATGGCCCGAGCAGTGGCCAAGAAAGGTCTACCCAGCAAAAGAGGCATCTCAGCTCCCCCTTCCATGTCCAACACTACAAAATCACCAGGAAAGATGAACTTGTCCATCTTTACAAGAACATCTTCAATAATACCACTAGGCTTCCTCAAAGACTTATCAGCAAGTTGAAAAGATGCCAAAGTGGGCTTCAACTCGGTGATCCCCAAGGATTTACAAACAGAAAGGGGCATCAAATTAATACTAGCCCCAAGATCGCATAATGCTCTGCCAATTTTTGTGTCCCCAATTTCAATAGGAATTTTGAAACTCCCTGGATCACTGAGTTTGGGTGGGAACTTCTTCTGTATGATG